ACATCAATATTAAATAAGAGAATGTCAGACTGGAGTGATAGACAAAACATAATATCAGATTCACAATTTGGATTTAAGAAAGGATTATCCACAACTGATGCGATATTTTGCCTACACAGTATAGTTAATCACATGTTAAATAATGGTACACGCCTCTACACTACCTTTATAGATATGCAAAAATGTGTTGATAGTGTATACCGGAACGCATTGTGGTTCAAAATGTCAAAACTGGGAATAAACAGTTAATTGCTCAGGGTCATAAGTTCAATGTATGAGCAAGTGAAATGTAGAGTACGTCATGGAAGCGAATTCTCGGACTTCATGGAAATAGCAGTGGGCCTAAAACAGGGAGAGATATGTTCACCGTTACTGTGGTCTATGTTTATTGAAGATTTAGAGTTGTACATTGGTTCGAGACCAGAAAGTGGCTATAAATTTGATGATTTGACTCTGGTGCTGTTTTTATACGCAGACGATATGGTACTATTTTCGGACACTGTAGAAGGATTACAACAAAGTTTAGATGACTTGCTCACATACTGTAAGAGATTGGGATTAACAGTTAACATTGAAAAAAACAAAGTTATGGTTTTTAGAAAGCTTGGACCGTTGCGTGAAAATGAAAAATGGACTTACATTGAGACAAATTTAGCTATTGCTAACAATTTCAACTATTTAGGTGTGGTGTTTGACTCAAATGGCAATTTTAACTATAATACGCAGATGCTCGTCGGCAAGGCGCTTAAAGCTATGAACTGTTTAATGAATAATACTAAGGACTTTGATTTTACCCAAAAGACAATGTTGAGTTTATTTGATTCATTTGTTTCCTCAATTTTAAGTTACTCTTCTGAAGTTTGGGGATTTACTAAAAACAAAGACATTGAAAGGATACAGCTAAACTTTTGCAAAAGAATTCTAAATGTAAAATTATCGTCCAGTAGTGTAGCTATAAATGACGAATTAGGACGATATCCATTGTATGTAAACAGATGTGTTAAAATTAAGATCAAATATACTAATAATTGTATAATAAGTAAAATATATTAACTGTTATTAGAGGATTTGTGTAAGAATAAGAATAACTGGGTTTCAAAAGTAAAGAAGTTATTATATGAACATGGTTTTGGATACGTGTTCGATACACCGTTAACAGTAAATGTGACCCACTTTATATCCATGTTCATTGATACATTCACACAGAATCGGAGTTAAGATTTAGAGAGCAATCAAGTACTACCTTTATATAAACATTTAAAGCACCAAATTGAATATGCTGAGTATTTGAGTATATTAGGTAGAAAAAATTATAGATATGTTATTACCAAGTTTAGGATATCTGCACATTGCATTAGGATTGAAACCGGACGATATGGTCAGAATAGAATTGAAAGAGGTGAAAGAACATGCAATGTATGTCAATCCAGAGACTTTGAGAATGAATTCCATATGATTTGTGTGTGTCCCTGCTACAGACTTATAAGAAAACGTTACATTGATAAATATTTTTATGAAAGACCACCTTTGTTTAAACTTACCCAGTTGTTGTCAACCAGAAATGAAAGAATGTTGAATAATTTAGTTTGTTTCCTAAATTGTGCATTAAGAATTAGACATAATCTTTTACAATAAATAATTAATAAATATATAATAAATAAATACATGCTCAATTTATTGTCATGTACGTTAAGAATTTCATGTTAAATGATACTGATGTATATTCTATACCTTCTTTTGTCATATGTACCACAGATACTGTCATTTTCATTATTGTATTATATCATTATATTGTTTGACTTTGACATAATAATGTATAATTATGTTATGGATGAAGAGCGAAATGAAATGCTCAAATCTGAAATAAAATTCATGTTCATGTTCATGTAATTTTAGTAAATAATTTGAGTATCTTTAATTAAATACATACAACGGGATATAATATTATGTGTGAACAAGAAAACCAATATAATATTAAAGATAGTAAGTAAATATGTTGTCGCAACACTATATTTTTTCTTCTTTTGATGCCCTTTTCAACGTGACTCTTTTGCATATTATCCAAGAAATTATGTAAGCAAATCATTCATAAAATCTCTGTAATTTTCATTTTTTTTGTCAAAAATGTACGTTAAAGACAGCAAAGTTAGAGCGAAAATAAAATCGCCGAATTGTTATCTCCCGTCGAATGATAAAAATCGCTTTTTGGCATGATGTACTGCAAAACAATCTGGAAACAAAGTGATCTCTCGGAAGCATTAATCACAACAAAATTACAGGAGAATTGCAGACTCGGTTTGATTGAGTCTGCACAAAGCATTATTCTGATACAAAGCCCACAAAAATGAGTACAGTAAACTCCGCTTATAACGAACTCATTGGGACATTCAAAATCTGTTCCTTATATCCGGAGTTCCTTGTAAGCATATAGCGAATTAGTTCCTTGTATCAGAAGTTTTTATAGCGAACAGATTTACATATTACGAACTACTAGTAATTGCTTACCATCGTCCTCCATTTAGAAGAGCATTTGATTAAGAGAAATAACTCTTGGGTTTGTCATTGTTGTCTCCCTTATATTGATTCAATAAAGAAAAAAAAGGAATAATTGCAATATTGTTTCTTTTTAGTTTAATTTTTATGTATAAATATATCTATAAGATAATTATATGATATGTACCATATCAGCAATATTGTTATTTATTAACGAAACAGTTTCATGCACAAAAATAATCTTTTTGCCTCGAAAAAGTCGCTAATTTTAGTTTGGGAATGTTGGTTAAATTCAATGTTCAGTAAACTTTTTAAAACTGTTTCTTCAACATGTGCATTAGACTCGAAGTATGACCTAATCTTGTGCAAGCAATCAATAGCTTCATTTTTTGACACAACCGGCAGATCATCTAAATAGATATCTTCTTCGGAAGATTGACTATCATCGTCATGATTTGTCCCTAATATATCCGCTACACTCGGCCAAGTTTTATTCTGTGCCGATGAAAACGAAAGTAGAAAATGCGTGATCTGTTTACGGAAAGCTGATATTTTGGAGTTCGTTATAAAAGTGTATTTTTCAGCACTTTTGATGGGATTGGGACTAAAAAATGAGTTCCTTATAAGCGATAATTCCTTATAACCGTGTTCGCTGTAACCGTAATTTTTTACAATAAATAAAGAAGGGCAAAATTCGGGCCAAAATATTTTGTTCCTTATAACCGGAAGTTCGCTATAACCGTGTTCGCTATATGTGAAGTTTACTGTACTATAAAGCAAAACACATACTTTAAAAATGTAACTGCAATACTATTTAAACATTATGTTTAATGTCATTGGGGATCTATTTAAAGTATGTAAATATAAGTAATACAATATTAGGAGTTAAGCATGCTTCTGCTCAAATTATAGAATTTCACTGAATCCGAATAGACCAAGAATAAACATAATTTATATACTATGATATACTTGGAAGCGTTAGATCTGAGATGTATTATTCATTATATCTACACGACGATCACATGATGACGTCATCCCAAACCCATTATACGTTGTGTATATTGTAAATAAACAATAAAAAGTGTTATATCATTAAAAATGTTTAAAATGTTGTTAGCGACTTGAAATAGCGACTGTACATGCGAATTATTCAACAAAATATATAAACCGTCATAATGTCATACAATGTTACTTTATATCATTTGATTACGTATAACCTTCAATCCATATACACAACACGTATGATAGACAATATGGAACACATACAAGTTATACAGATCAAGATCTCTTAAATTTTCTTCTTGGAACATGTGGCTAGTTGTCCAAACGCAGAATCATTTTACCACGTTGTGAAGAAAATAACGTGCTGATATAAAGAGCAAGTCATGCATCTTTCCTATTAACAACTGATATACTGGTGGTTAGATGTGATGTGTTACCCTAAATTATGATGAAGCATTCATACCCGTCACACGCTGTGCTTTCAGTCCTCTGATTACCATTTTCCTATTTTTCAATATTCACAAATTTCCATTTCCGCATTTTTGATATTCACAAACTTCTAATGCTAATGTTTTGATACTAACAACTTTCCATTCGTCTTTTATTTTTGGCATTCACAAATTTCCATCCCCTTTTTATATTCACTAATTTTCATTCTCTCCTTAATATTGATAATTCACAAATTTCCATTTCTCTATATTGATATTCACAAATATCCAATTCTTTCTTTTTTCATATTCTCAAAATTCCATTTCCTCCATTTTTGATATTCGGGAATTTCCAACCCTTCTTTTTTGGTATTTACAAAGTTCAAGTCCCCTCTTTTCTATTGTATTCACAAATATAATACAAATTTATTATCGCCTTAACATAATTTGTTTGCATTTTCCAGATTCCGGATGACTTTTTTTATTTCATTAACACTACATATACTTATAATACTATTTTTTTTCATATAAGATTTTACATATGTTCTAGTTTATAGTTATATTATTCCAATTTTACACATATTAATTATAACATTTATTTTTATAGGCCCATTTTGCCTTAGAAATGCTATACTCAATTATCTATTTCTCAAAATCATTTAAATTTTAGTATCTCGTTACATTTTCCAGAAACATACTTATTTGCTATATATGCATATACATGTAGCATCTTGTTCATCTTTAGTTCTGTTGCCTTTGGTATAATTATTGTGAATAAATGTTTGTATAAAAGTCAAAATACTATTTTGTTTACGTTTATCTACCTTTTCAACACATGGCTACATGTTCAGCATTACTTTTTTCAGTCATAAAATATCTAACATGCACATAACACATTATCGTAACATTATTAAACATATATTTGACATTTCTAAAGAATTAAGAAATATGGATTTTAGAGGCAAAATGTGTCTTTAATATTCGTATGAGAGATTAATTTATTTCACAAGATGATAGACCAGTCCTATCTCGAGGAGAACATAAGTTAATTTTGTTATAGAAATGATCAAATTAGAATTTTATTTTTCATATTTTTAAAGGTGTCTATGAAATAAGTATGCACACTGAAACGTCCCCAAACGAAACATTATAGGTTAAGTTGAAGTTGTTGACAAATGCACATTTTCCCTTTCTTTACGTTGTGACGATTGATTGGGGCGTCTGGTAGAAAATCAAAATCGTCTGCCATGATATGAAAACTTTGCTCCAGATGTGTTTCAATTAACATATCTGCATAACTCTGAAAATAAACATTTTATGCTTAACTTTATGAAAAAATGTATTCTTAACTGTATACGATGAAAATATTTATCAATGGAAATAAAATACACTTGAGTGATCGATTAGATTGCCGATAACTACATGCAAGATCAAATGTGCCAGTATTTCACATACATTAAACAATTATTGACAAGTGAGCCTTTGAATATGAAGTGATATTCAACAGCAGAAGAAATGCCGTTGAGATCAATATAATTTTTTGCCGGTGGATATCACATCATATTTATTGGCTCAATAGTTAATAATTGTTTTAGTAGATAGATAAAAAGGCAAAGATTGAAAATTAATAAGAAAAAGAAAAGAAGAAAACATAAATACTAAACACAGTTTTTGCCTGTTTTTATTCGGTGTGCGATATAAGAAAAAGCACCGCAAACAAGATGTCAGGCGTTAAATCGAATACGCGAACGCTGTGCAAAAAAGTAATTCAATAAAAATAGTTATGTGGACTTTTGTTTGGACCAATGAGATTGCTGATATATTTGGATTCTATAACAAACTCGTATATCCGCCATTTGCCTCATATTGTGTAATAGAATTAGAATAATTTGCAATTTATTTTGAAAAGATATGGTTAACACGAAGATATTTCAAATATAATGAAATACTGTTTGTTGGGTACATGAATTCACTGGAAAATTTTCGTTCAGATAAGTTACCATTCAGATAAGTATAATAAATAATTGCGGTTCACCAAAAGTAGCTATCAGTGTTAACAAGGATGCTTTAAATATATCTACTGTATATTTTCAGAGAGTTTTACAATTAAAGACGTTTATAAATTATTAAGATAAAGGCAGCACTTATCACAGTAAACTGTACGATCGATACATTATGTAAATGATAAAATATGATATTATAATTATATATTTAAGACAGACATCTAAAACGTAATAACTAACAACAAAGATAATGTCAACGAGCAATGAAGTGATGTTGCCATTTGATATTGCTCTTTGATCTCTGACATCACATAAAAAATAAATAAAGAAATCATGTAGAGTAAAAATGAGACTGTTCTACAATTGTTTTTATGGGTATTTACATCTAAACTCTGGTATTCGTATAAAGAAAATAAATTACCTCATGCGTCAATGTATGATCAACAGGAACAATGTTTCTTGATTTTATTATTCCAACGAAGTACTCCTGAATAATACGAATAACACTCTTTAATCTTCACATAATTTGAAAAAGAACTCAACATGCTAAAATAATACAATATTTTTAATCTCAGCGTAAGAAATGGAAAGTTGCGCCAAAATGACGCAAATTTAACGAAGTTCATTCATAAAATGTGGGAACAGACGTAATTTTAAAGCACGCCACTCGTCGGGCAACCCATTGCCAGATGAAATTTTCGGTAAGGGGTAAAACTAACGGATTTACCCGTCTGATATGCGCGATAACGTTTATATATGCCATAGCTGTACATCAAAGGATAAGAAAATAGGTCACACTCTGTCAAATCATCTAGGTCAACTGATATCAAATTTCAGTTTTAGATCTAAATTGATGCACATTATCCAAATTTCAAAGCTATACATCAAAGGACCAAAACATAGGTAACTTCGTCAACTCATCAAGGTCATTTGATAATAAAGTTAAATTTTACACTTGAAACTATGCACATGGTCCAAACTTCAAAGCGGTAGATCAAAGAACAAAAAAGAAGGCCACTTAACAAAATCTAGGTTAGCTGGTATCAAAAATCAATTTTATATTTCTGTTTACATGGTCCAAATTTTAGAGCTGTACATCAAATGACAAGAACGTTGGTCACTTTATCAAGGTCTAGGTGAGCTTACATCAAATTCAAATTATACACATAAAACTGGTACACGGTCCAAATTTCATAGCTGTACATCAAAGGACAAGAAAATATGACACTTCGTCAAATTAGCTAGGCCAGCTGATATTAAAAGTAGGTCAATTCTTCAAAATCTATGTCAGCTTATATCAAAGTTAAATTTTTACATCTAAAACTGTGTGCATGGTCTCAATACCATTGCCCTTGGGTAAAATTTCAATAATTTTACTTTGCCCGTCAATGTCAATTAAAGGTCAAGGTCACATGTTTAGCTTAGGGTCAGTTCAATCTTTCAGAAGGTCTTGTCCAAAAAATTCTCTAAATATAGAGATAATACACGTATATTTGTCAATAACCAAGTTACAGTCAATGATTGCAAAAATCAGAGAAAATTGCATGATTTAACTTCAAGGTCAAGGTCATATATAAGCCAAGTTCAAGTTGAGCCTATCCTTAAGAAAACTGTATCTTAATATGAAGTCAATCCATTCATTGATAATTAAGTTATAGACGGTTACAACAAAGGAAGACAATTTCAATATTTCGATATTCAGGGTCAAGGTCATTTATGAGTGAAAGTCAAGGTCTATCTGGTCTACTTTAAGATCTACCCTTTAGGATTATTGTGTTAAAATTTGAAGACAATCAATTAAAATGAAAGTTATAGCCACTAATAGCAAAAATCAGCAAAAATCTAGCAAAATTCAGCCATTTGAATGAAGGTCAAGTTTAGTCTGGTCTGCCCAAGGTTTCTTGTGGACAAGTATGAAGACAATACCCGAAGAACTTAAAAAAGTAATGATCAACGTTAACCTTTGGGAGACGGCAACGGCAACATAACCGTAACAATACATCAGTTTTATTTCTTCGAAAATAGTCAAGCTAATGAAATGAAAAATAAAAGGAAAAAATAAATAAAAATAAATAAATGAAAAATCATCAAATATTACCTTACATCTTGCTATGTTATATCTCATTACAAGGAGCTAGATATCGTCAAGGAGAAAATCAAAGTACTTGAAAGTACGGATGAAAAACGATCAACAAATTATGAAAAAAATAATGATTTATATCTTTAGTTCGCACTCGAGCAACCATTTTCAGGAAAGAAATCAATCCGAATGAATTATTTTGATAAGGTTTTTTGATTCTACAATCTGGCATTACGGTAATTATGTAATATTATGATATTGTATATGTACTGATCAAGGGAGTTAACTGCTGTAGACTGTTGATATTCTTGCTTGATACAATTATAACGTTCGCTCACAAATTTTTTTTCTTTGAAACGGCATTCAAGAAACAGATACCAAAATACACTTATTTTTGAAAGTATTTTTTGTTTATTTTTTTATTTACACAAATTTTGTCGGACTATTTTTGACACGTGTGCATGGATATTGAAGTTGTTGGGCATAGACAATTTGAAACGACGGCGTGTGAGGGCAATATTGAAAAAAAACAACAACATTGGTTTGGTTTTGGCGTTCCATTTTCTGTTTCGTTTGTGACATTTTGAACGAGATTTTGAACATTATGTTTATACTTAAAAAAATAGAACGAAAAAAGATGATTAACAAGAGCTGTCGGTAGGACAGCAACTCTCGACTATTCTTAGTGCTTGATAGTAAAAGAAAATGCTTGATACAATTACCTCCTCCTGTTTACAGGTTGGAGTAATAATGGTGAACAAGTGTGCAAAATTTCAAAGCCATATGTCAATGGACTTTGAAAATATTTGAGGTATTACAAAAACTTTAACGTAAATTCTAAGTCAAAAAGGGGCATAATTCTGTCAAAATGCTTGATACAGTTGTTTCCTCCTGTTTACAGGTTGGGATAATATTGGTTAACAAGTGTGCAAAGTTTCAAAGCCATATGTTATTGGACTTAATATGTGAACTATTACAAAAACTTTAACATATTTCTAAGTCGAAAAAGGGGCATAATTCTGTCAAAATGATTGATACAGTTACCTCCTCCTGTTTAAAGGTAGGGGTAATGATGGTGAACAAGTGTGCAATGTTTCAAAGCCATATGTCAATGGACTTTGAAAATATTTGAACTATTACAAAAACTTTAACATAAGTGGTTACGCCGACGCCGATGCAGACGCCGACGCCGACGCTCGGGTGACTACAATGGCTCTACTTATTCTTATCGAATAGTCGAGCTGAAAATGTCTAATTTCCAAGACTTAATGTACAAGATCATATGTCATGGAGAAATTACTCTCGCCAGTTGATCGAGTCATTGACCCCTGGGTTAAGTAGCCGATGCTTTTAGGGAATGAGTCAATATGAACATATTTATTATTAAAAGGATACAGACGGTTTGCTGTTCCGCCTTCCAGTGAACAACAATAAAATGTTGTTTTTAACACATTCTGCACCAATCTTCCGCCAAAGTTTGCCTTGTAAGGAACAATCTCTCTGCAAAAGACATTTTTTAATAAATCTTTTAATTATTTAATACTTACAATTTATAATGATTGTATCCCAATGCACCTTAGACATGTTAAAACATATTCTAGTGTGTAGAAAACGGTGCAGTTTTCGTCGATATAATATACCCCTTTCTTTGAAGAAATTAATAAGTCGCTTGTTTTCTTGTAATAGATTCTACTATTTTTGTACTTGAAACTCATCTTCTAAGGTGTAAACATTGTCATAAATGCAACCAATCTGTTATGAAGATTGTCATGTGTTTCTAAGGTGTAAACATCATCATAAAAGTAAGGGTCTATTAGAAAATTGTCATGTAGTTCGAAGGTGTGCCCTTTGTCAATAAATGAACAGATGATGTAATAAAAATTGTTTACCTGTTTCCTATGACAGCATGTTGGCAAGAAGCATATCATTATTTGAATGATGACAAATGATAAACCCATAAAAATACCCATAAGAACAGACAGACTGTAGTTTGAGAAAGCTAAGACCCTTCCTCTCTGTGCATGATCAAGAACCCATGACATTTCAGCTATTAAAGAAATCAACGCGTAAAGTGGTGCCAGAAGAAATGCCCAGGCGAAGTTTTTCAAACGGCTTAGATAATCGTATGAGGACATTATAAGATCCTTGTTCAAGATATCAACTGTCTTTTGTAACAGCTTTTCTGGTACCTGGAAGAGAAAAAGCACGTTTAATTAGAACCAATATATCATTTCAAGGTAATTCATCATTAAACATTTGTTCAATAAGTATATATATTTACACACTTGTAAATGAAATATTGATTGGTTTTCATTTTTCGCATTTTACACTATAAAATTTTATTTTTCACTGCAGTGAACCATTTTTTTCCGTATTTTCATTGGTGATTTGCCGGATCAAATACATAAAAAAGAGAAAGTAAATCAATGGTAATGACTACTTCTAGGATTTTAAAGCGGTGGAAACAAAGGGGATACATTGAAAATGTCCACAGACCTGGCAGACCAAAAGCAACATCGGTTTACGCCGACCACACTTTGTTAAGGACTGTAAAACAAATGTGCTTGATCTAGTTTGAAGTGTATTACCGAAATATGTAATGAAATAGCACCTGTGAAACTTTCTACTCGTTCTGTATAGAGGAGACTTAATTTCTTTGGATATAAACAACGATCCGTTAGGAAAACCATAGGAATATAAATAAGAAAATCATTTGAAGAATATTGTTTTAGTTGAGAAATGATGGTTGTTATTAAACCTGACAGGAAAACAAAAGTTTGGAGAAAGAGCTCGGAAAAAGTGGCGACCTGAATGCTTTGGATATGTTACTGACGGGCCCCAGTCAACAATTAAAATCAGGGTCTGGGGTTGCATTACTTATAATGGAATTGGAACTCGTAAATGGTATCATGATTTCTGAACATTACATTGCGATTTTGACTCGAATTTTCCTCAATTTATTGCGAAAATATTTGGTGTTAATACCTGACTCTATCAGGATGACAACGCTCCCTGCCACCGCTCCCGACAGTCCGAGGAATTAAATAAAACATAGAAATCAAAATACCCCAGCTTAGTTTGCAAACACAGTCCCCAGATTGTAGTCCTATCGGAAACGTTTGGTAACAATTACTGATGAAAAACACGTCGAAAAATCGACTTTATCTAGTACATAATGTCAATGACCTGAAGGCTCAGTTGGTACATGTGTGGAATAAGGTGCCACTATATTATATCCAGAAGTTGTACGATAGTCTACCCAGAAGATGTCGACAGGTCATTATTCAGAAAGGAGATAGTATAACATACTAGTTACATCACTCCTTTTTACAGGTTAGTAAATCAATTCTTTAGAGTTCATGTTTTGTTAACTACTGCGCAGACATTAAAAATCTTAACCAGTTTATGGTATGACGCTGTAGCTTTGTAGATAAGTACATGCCAGAACAATACTAGACTACAGGCACCGTCTCGTACGCTCATATCGTTGGACTGTGAATAGGGTGATCCCGGTTCGATTCCCGGACGGTGCGGGTAATTTTCCTTGTGACTGATCATGAAATCCTTTCTTTGGTCATTCGTAATGTACTCTGCATTGGCAAATACAGAAGTTATCAGTTCCTTACAAAGGTGAAGGCATCTAGTAATGGTTAACTGCGTGATAATCTGCCCAGGAACGATGCGGTGGCTGGATTGTGTTCTTGTTAATTTAGCGTGGCTTACTGCCGGGATCCGGAGTAAAAATTACCAGTACCTGCACAACCACATAGACTACATACCTCAACTTTATTTTCCTTCAATTTTTCAATCAGGTTATTGTCAACTGAAAAACGATACTTGGCAGGTCTTGCGACACTAAGGTTATCACGTGATGCCGGAATGATAAAACAATATCCATTCTCGTCTGAAATATACAAATTCATAAAGTAAAACGCCTAAATTCATGAAGCTGAATTCGTGAATTTACGAAGCTAAAAAATCACAAAATCATTATTTTTCATCATATTAAGGTAAGGTTAGGTAAGGTAAAAACAAGAAGATTCGTTAATTTTATTTAACATGTCGACAGACCTTTGTTAACGTTCGTTGCAGACGACATCAAAACGCAGCAATACGCTTACATATAATCACTAGATTTAATGATACACAATTTGAATTTGAATTTCAATTATGTGAGAGAAATAACTAACGAGTAACCTTCAGTACTATATGACTATGAAATGACTGTTTTGGCAATTGGAACGAGGATAGACTGAGTACTATATAAATTTGATATGGATATTTCTTACTCGTAAAATGCAAACGAAGCTAGATGGAGTAAAATTTGAATCTATTTAAGGTTTTTTTGACTACAAAAATGAGGCTTAATAGATAAGACCGGAATCAATTATAAGTTTGACTGACATATCACATGATGCAAATACTTGAAGTTCATTGGTTACATATTTTAAAGTGTGAACTAAAAATAGATATCACAGTTACTTGCAAAAGTTTAACTTACAATATCGGTTCATCATCCTAATGTTAAGTGAGAATAAACCGTCATCAGTATCTGAAAAAAGGTACAATATTAGACACCATAACATAAATAATAAATTCCCATGTCGTAAAAAAATATTTAAAGGAATTTCATAGAGGTGCAAAACCCCAAAACATAAAATTTGAATAACTTACATAGATCAGCTGGGATATCTAGATCAAAAAGAATTGCAGAAGAAAATTAAGAAATAAACTCAAAAATAAATTGAAAATTGTAATTTTGTGCTATTCTTAGCCAAATTTAAGTGAAACAAGAACGTGTTTGTTAAACACAAATGCCCCCGGCTCAGATTCTTGTCAGTAGCAATACCTCAAAAAAATGGTAACCCATTCACTCAGTTATGGACAGAAAAATCGCCAAAAAATTGTAAACACAAGTTTTATAGCTTGACAAAGTCATGGCATTTTGTAATTGTGAAAAATATAAGTTGCCAAGTCATTGCTCTGATTTGTGAAGTTGAAAAATATTCAACTTCATGCAAGTTATCTTCCTACCAAATATGAAATACATCTGTCATTAAATAAAGGCTGTATGGGCAAAAGTGTAATAATCTATTTTGAGCACTGGTGACCTTGACCAAACTGACCCCTAACTCTATCCAAAAGAAGAATACCATGTAAGTTATCTTCCTACCAAATATGAAATACATCTGTCAATAAATAAAGGCTGTATGGGCAAAAGTGTAAAAATCTATTTTTAGCACTTGTGACCTTGACCCAACTGACCCCTTACTCCATCCAAAGAAGAATACCATGCAAGTTATCTTCCTACCAAATATGAAATACAACTGTCAATAAATAAAAGCTGTATGGGCAAAAGTGTAAAAATCTATTTTTAGCACAAGTGACCTTGACCCACTGATCCCTACCCCAATCAAAGGATGAATACCATGCAAGTTATCTTCCTACCAAATATAAAACATATCTGTCACTTAATAAAGGCTGTATGAGCAAATGTGTAAAAATCTATTTTTAGCACTGGTGACCTTGACCCAACTGACCACTAACTCCATCAAAGTTTATGTTTCTATCAATTATAAATAACATCTGTCTGTCTATAGAATAAGGTCAATACACCTTTAAAAATGTAAAAAACTTTTTTTGACATTGGTGACCTTGACATTGGTAACATTGACCTTGACCCAAATGACCCCATACTACACCCAAAAGATGAGGTGTTTGTATTAAACTAAGACATCAACTAAAAAATAAAGGCTGTATGAGCAAAAAGGTTTATATTTATTTTTTAAACCAGTGACCTTGACCCTAGAGACCGCTTACTCCAAAAAAAATTAGAGGACCATGAAAGGTATCCACCTACTTAATATGAAAGATATCAGTAAAGAAATTAAGCAATTAGGAGAAATCTAAGATAAATCCAACTTGCCGAAATAGGTTAACCAGACAAGGCCCTATTTTCAAAGTGAAAAAAGGGAAATAACTGGGAAATATGGATGACACAGTTATATAACTTGGCAATATCATGTGCTTTGAATTGATAAGTAAGTGTGGAAATTATAAAGCCATTAGGATAGATAGAACTTAAGATATTTCCAACTTGCCGTTTTAGGTTAACCATTATTCATTTTCAAAGTGCTGAAAAGGGCAATAACTTGGTAAATATGAAAGCCAGAGTTATGAAACTTGCCCAGATTATGTACTTTGTATTGATTAGTAAGTGTGTAAACTTAGAAGCCATTGGTACAGGTAGAACTTAAGAAAAATCCAACTTGCCGTTCTAGGTTAACCTCGTACGGACAGACGGACAGACGGACGGACGGACGGTTCAATTACTATATGCCCGGGGGCATAAAAAGTATTGTTTTGGTTCATTTTTTTTCAAATTTAGAATAATTATTCTGGAAAAACGAAATGAACGAATGATCTGAAATTTTGAACATAAGTTATTAGCCCCAGTCTTCATCAAATGAAACATTTCTCACGAAAAATTATTTAAAGTTCCGTCATGTTAAAACACATCAGTGAAGTCCCTTTAAAGAAAGCCTGCTATTTTCTCTTATATTACAACTACGGACAAACTGAAATTTCCATATATATCTATCTATATGTATGTCACAGGGTGAGAAAAATGTGCAGCCTAACCGGGACTCGAACCCGTGACCCCCGGAATACCGTACCGTGGCTCTACCGACTGAGCTATCCGGCCGTTTACACACTTTCTCCCCTAGATAGTGAACAGTTCTTAACCGTGACATACTCCCTCCCCCGCTACATTGAAATTCGTCCTCGAATTTCCAATGGGTACAGAGAAAAATGTGAAATTGGACTAGGAGCTTATACCATCACGGGCCCCACGTTGGGCGCCAAATATCACAGGGTGAGAAAAATGTGCAGCCTAACGTGGACTCGAACCCAGGACGCCCAGAATACCGTACCGTGGCTCTACCGACTGAGCTATCCGGCCGCTTACACACTTTCTCCCCTAAATAGTGTACAGTTCATAACCGTGACATGTAGATCTCTATACAACTTTTTGATAAAAATGCATCATTGGGCAATTTCAAACGCAGCTACAGCGTTTACATGCGCTTTTGTACGTGGTCCAACCTGTAGGTTTGACATGTAGATAAGCTTATTGAAAATACACACTGAAACGGATTTTCCTCTAGCATCCCCAGCATGTTTCGTTGATAAACATTGTAACAAAACATTTTGATATAAGTAAGCGGACTCGAAAGTAAACACTTAACTCAATCAAATAACTGTTGTAAAGTAGAATGTATAGATGTAACATATTTAAACTTTTTTGTTAATAAAGATTTTTGTTTAATGATAAAATATATATTTGAGGTCATGTACTTCATATTATTCTCATATAGATGGTTGAATGTTATACTATCCTCATCCTAGAGAAAAAAATAATCACAGAAATTAAATGAAATCTATGAGATTCTTACAGAATATATCTAATTTGAATGACAGAATGAATAAACTATGTGTGGGAAGCTGCATTCATGAATATGAATCAAGTAAAGTCTGTTTCTTTATAATCAGCCTATAATGACCAGCTATAGTGTGTACAATTGTAAACATGACATATCTACTTTGTGTGAAATAACAACATGCCTATTTCAAATTTAAAAAGACTGTGTAGTAATTGCCAATATTTTCTAATATTACATTTGAGTATAGTACATGGTGATTTTATTAAAGCTCCAATTTAAAATGAAATTATAGCCTACAGAACAGAAATGAGAACAAATTTAAGGTGTAATAAAAATCACCGTTTAAAGAAACAGCACTGTCTATTCTTCGCATATTCAATAGAAAAGTACAACTAAGGATTGTTTGCGTCACTATCGTAGCAAAAAAGAAAAGAAAAAAAGATACAGTCATGATTTTAACATTAATCAAACATATGTATATAGTTTATAATCATAATCCAAATGACTGAAATGAGTTTAAAGGCCCATTATAATGCCTCAGAAATGCCATTATTTTTATTTGTCCAAGACCTTTTATTTTTTTATTTAAAATATCATTTGTCATTTGCAACATATTATAATTAACAACCTTTTCTTTTTTTTGCTATGTTGGCAATTTGTATAATTACAAATTATTATTAATTAATTTGCTACACATGTGTGCACAATCATTACTAATTTAATTAGCTGTTTTAAATATCATCATGCTCTGAATCAATTATTTAAACATTATTTAACAAATGTTTGACATTTTTTATCCATAGTGTGCCTTTAAACTAAATATGAGAATTGACTTTACAGCATACTTAGTCACATATGTACATACCAGGGCGTAAAAGTGAAGCTGCAATTTTGGCTGGCACATCTAATCCCGGTATGGTTGCATCAATGTAGGTCAAGGTCACAAGTGTAGGCGGTATCTCACACTCTTCAAGAAGTACAGGCACAATACAGCTATAGCCACAACCCATAGAGTTTATAAATGCCGCGTCAGTTTCATACTTACACCAACCACTTTCGAGAAAATTTGGTGTTAAAAAGAGTAATACCTTTAATGAAGACATCATTCCTTCACGTATATTTACTGTTATATCCTTCCCACCCTGAAAGTCCCGTTCATCAAATACACATTGTAGACCAAATCTCTTTTCGACGTCCTCAATTACTGAATGAACACGTTCTTTGTCTAAACTGGTGTAAGAAACAAAGAAATGCTTTGTCTTCCCTTCGGGTAAAGCTGGTATCTTAGTTTTTAAATCCTGATCACGGCAATCATTTGCAGAATATTCTGCATTATTTTCTGTACTCGTAGCCATGATTACACAGATAGGTATATGTCAGAGAAAATGAAATTGATTCTAAAAATAGATAACGGAAATGCCAGCGTACTTCTAAATGTCAATAATGGCGTGTCGAAATTCACTGCTCGCTGCTTGTTTAATTGGATATATATGTTCTATAACTACCGTAAGTTGCTGTTTATGTATTTTTTTATAGTTCGTTCAAATAATATGTTACGTTTTTATTTATTACTGTAAACATTTTAAAATAAATTCTTTCAATTTACATGATTTTTCTGTGTTTTCTAAAATAACATACATGTACTTTTATCATTACACGCGTGTTAACGGCACTTTTACTCCATATAAAGCCGGCGCTGTTTAATAAAAGGAAATAAGACTGTAAACTTATTCTTTTGGTTGTTTAATTAGAAATGTATTAAACCGATATATACATGTCTGTCGTTATTTAATATAAACTAGTCCTCACCAATAATATCACATTGACACCCCTGATCTCAATTATCACATTGACAATATTTTTGTTTTGCGCGTCTGAAAGCATGTTTATATAAGCAAAAAAACGTCACTAAAAAAATGACTGTGTTTGTGCACAGTACCCAAAGTCCAATTGAAAATAAAAATATATTTTTTTGGGTCCAATCCCGGGGAAAATTTGGGGGCCGAACACAAAACAATTGCCCATTGTTTTAAATTTTTCAGTAATAAAAAGAAATTCTATTGAACGGTACAACAACTTTCAAACCTTTTTTGGACGGGCCAAACAAGTCTGATTGGTTTTGCGCTGTTTATGATCCAATAGAATCAGTATTGTACTCAATATTGTATAATAACCACAAAATGTCATACGATAACAAATGTCATATTTTATATGGTTTTTGTTCTGTAAAATGTCAAATTCGAGTCGTTATAAAATTAAAAGTATATGTCAATTGTTTTGTGTATATTACATCTGAGTACACATTGTGAAATAGATACTATGTATGACGTTTTACACAACTTGCTTTCGAAAACACATTCCCAGCTTATCATTTTTCTGGTGCTAAAAAAGTGAATGCAGAAATGTTTAAATTTGGCAAGTAAAGATATAGAGGATTTGTTTGTTTGTGTGTAAGGTAGTAGATTTGCGGACTTGCATTACAATAGAAATGATTTACGGTATTTACGGTATCTGTATTTTTTCCCAAGTAATTCCAGATCCCTAAATCTATTATTTTTAGAAACCAGGACTCTATCCAAGTACAGTGTGTTTCTATCAATGAAATCTCTCACTAACAAAATGTTTTTATTTCCATATGTATTTATTTAAGCGGTAGACAAACATTAAACTTAATAATATAATATCAAAATAAAAATATTTTATATGTTTATTTTATATGTATTTTCTTTGCAGACACGCATTACATTCAATGATGAGTCATCAATTTATTCACAACTAAATTGGACATGTCCAGCTGATAAGCCATTTATGATTAAAACCGGAAATCGGTCTATTTGTGTTTCATCATGTGGACCTACAATGGTCGCAGATGGTAAAAACTGTATAAAAGTTGAAGATTGTAACAAACCTGTGCTGTCGGATGGATACTGCATGGAAATGTGTGACGAAGGCTATTTGTATGTAACGTTTGACCAAAACCTTTGCCAGGACTGTGGGACCGAATATTGTTCATATGGAGTGAAAAATATTGCGCAGACATTGTGTGTAAAGAAGTCATCTCTAATTTTGACATTAGTATGCTATGTTATTGGAACAATTCTATATATCGCCTTTCTGCTGATATTCTTCTCAACGTGGCAATTCCCATGCATTAAATTGGTACGTAATATTACTTTGGATAAAAAACAAATGTCAGAGAAATAGCATTAACAATCTATTATATGTGTAAAGAGGCATCCAATTTCAAAGACCATTTTGCAACAGATTCAATATGAAAACCCAAAGGTTCTACTATAAGACAGAGTCCAACATACCACTGACTTTTAAAGGAACTCCACTGAAGTCAAAAAGCCTTAAAAATGAAATTTGAAATTCTTGCATAAGTCAAGAGGAGCACTCTTTTAAATAAAAAAAATCTGAAAAGATGATATATACAAAAGAGATATATACACAAAATTAGATATGATATCGATTAATTTTGTGATTCCTTACCTGATTTGAGTTCAAAACTTTTCAGTTTTGTGTCATTTTGCAGAAAAATTAAAAAGATTATTCTGGGAAAACGGAATGAGGGAATAATCTGAAACTTTGCACGGGACAAGACATACATCAAATTGTATATAAACAAAACTCGAAAAATATTTCCAGTCCTGTCATGACAAAAAACAACAACAACAAAAAACCAACAAAAAACAATAGCTCAGTGGAGTCCCTTTAAAATTGCATATTTGATTTAACGTAGTAATATGCCGATACAATATCACAAAAAATCCAAACCCAACAAATTATGTCGTTTGTAATTTTAATTGGTTATGAATGATAATGAAAATATCATGAGAGTAAGTGTAGATTTAGATTTATATAATACCAAAACTCGTTGAAAAACGTTTTTTTGATATGCTTTTTAATAAATCTAACTTAACATAGCTGCTAAATTGAACTGTGAAAACTTCCTTTTTTAACAAATCTTGCTGTGAGACACCTGATTCTAGCAATAGGTCCGTTCTAGATTTCTTGATTGTCATGACGTTTACACTTCGTAAAGAAAAAAGCAACAGGCGCATGCGCACAGTGACCCAAAAATTCAAAATTTACTCTCGAAGTTTACCATACTTTGCAAATGATTTATATCAGATATTACATAAATAGCTGTGAAATTAATATACGTAACCATGATGTGTTCTATTTCAGATAATGTGGATCAAATCAAGGAATCAGCTACAAAAGACTTCGTCACGTGACATGTTGTGTAATGATTACGTCACAGATGACTGATTTCGTGTAAATTAAATCGTACAGACACGTTATGCCAACGTCTCATGTTCTTTGTAATATCAGATTAAAGTGCACCGACAGCGGTATACATGTGCCGTTAATATATACTTTTTATGCTCCCCGAAACATTTCGGGGGAGCATATAGTCGGCGCCTTGTCCGTCCGTCCGTCCGTCAGTCCGTCCGTCCGTTGTCTTGTCCGGAGCATAACTTGAAAACCCTTTGAAATAATTTGTTAAAACTTCATACAGTGGTAGAGGACATTGAGTGCAGTGTCAAAGAACCATAACTCTATTTTGCCGGGTTTTTGAATTATCTCCCCTAATAGAAAAATCTTGTCCGGGGCATAACTCTAAAACTATAAGATATATCAACATGAAACTTTGTAGGTGAATAGATCTCAATGGGTAAATGTGCAGTGCATAAGAACAATAACTTTTTTTGTCCTAACTTTTGAGTTATTGCCCTTTGTCATTTTAAACACTTTGAACTTTGTCCGGAACATAACTCTAAAACTATAAGAGATATCAAGATGAAACATCATAGGTAGATAGATCTCATTTAGTAGAGGTGCAGTGCAAAAGAATCATAACTCTGTTAAGCCTCATTTTTGAATTATTTCCCCTTTTAGAAAAATCTTGTCCAGGACATAGCTGTAAAACTATAAAAGATATTAACATGAAACTTTGTTGGTAGATATATCTTAATGGGTAGATGTGCAGTGCACAAGAATCATAACTCTGCATTGTCTAATTCTGGAGTTATTGCCCTTTGTTTATTTTTACTTTTTGAAGTTGTAAGGGACATAACCCGGAAATCAAAAGAGATATCACCAAGAAACGTTGTAGGTTGATAGATCACATTGATAAGAAGTGCAGTGCAAAGAACAGTAACTCTGCCTTGCCTAATTTTGGAATTATTGCACTTTGAACTTTTTCCAGGGACATAACTCTGAAACTACAAGAGGTGTACTTTCCTGTGTCCAAAACCTATTCGGGGAGCATTACCCGGCTCAAACCAGGCTCTTGTTATTAGCTTTTATTACCATGCTATGTTTTTTTTTTCCAAAACACGTGAAAATCTTTAAAAAAACATACACACATTTTACTGGAATTTTGACAACATGCGTCCTTTTCTTATAAATACATATAATTCTTATTTTTGATAAATATTTGATAAATAAAAAACTCCTAAAATCCAACAACTTTAGGACCCAGAAGTTAAAGATTTTTGATGTGTTGCATTTTTACTTAAGTCGCTTACAACTGCAGGTATTCAAATGAGTATAATTATTAACAAATTAATAAAAATTAGTTACAGTAAAAATGATAATAATTTCTAATTTTTTTTATTGAAAATTATGAATAAAAGATATAACGAAACGCTAAATTATCATATCAGACATTATTTTTATATGCCAGAATCGCGGTAATGCATCATTCGTGAATCGATTTATTATACAAGCCCATGTTTTAAATGCACCCTCCTGTTCCTGCAGATGCTAATGAACAAAAAAGGGTATACATCTTTCTAGCGGGGGGGGGGGGGGTAAATTTTCTCTTCTTTATCCATATAATAACATAACTGCAAGAATATAATGACTCACGGATATTTTCCTTCACGTTTCAGCATAGCAAAACATCCTACTACTTTTATTATAAAGCGAACCGAAAAACTACCGGATTTACTAGAGAAAACATCACGTTTTATTCGATTTAAAGAAAACTGCACAGTATAATAGTTAGTTGTTAAGTTCAACAGCGAATGCGCGTGATTTTAGGCTTTTTGTTATTGAACATTTTGCTAAGGGAGAGTAATCAAGGGTTATCCCTGGGCAGAACGTTCAAGGATTATCTCCTATTTACAATGTAATATCCGGAAACTGTACTGTATTCTGTTCTGTCTAAGACTTTTCATATTGGTGCTTTGACATACACTTTCACTCATGACGATTTCTCTGGAGAAATTTCCTTCAGCAATATTAGTATTCAGAAAACCGATTTTATATGATACCAAACAATCACGTTGTTTGACTTTTATTCAGAGTATTCAAATTACCTATGCATTATAAATACAAGGCCAGGAAGGGAAGTTTTTAATTGGTGATATTTCAATGGCGTATTTTGCAGTGAGCAAGTTTTTTAGAATGACGACACTTACACTATAATTATAACCAACCATTTCCTATCTAGAATAGGTGTATCTGTCAGTAGTAAAATCTTTTTATCATGCTTACAGTTTGAATGAAATCATCTGTACTCAAAACTAAACGAATTTGGAGAATAAATCCTCGACTTTGATATCAAAATAATAGTAGAAAAACTATTTCGTGCTACATATCTACTTAAATAAGGATTTTGATGGTCTGCAAATCACCGTAGCTTTCTTTGATTGAAGTTTGAAGGGATTTCATTCTCAAAGCAAAACTAATGTAAAATCAGGTAAAAACTGCGTACGTCATATATGTATTAAAACCAGTGACGAGATCACCCAAACGCAAGACTTAACGTCTTGGTATAAGGAAATGTAGATAATAACTCACAAGTATATAATACCTTTGAAATATACCACCCTATGTTGAACATAGAATGTTAACAGGAAAAGAAACCAGGAACTCTGAATGCCCTAAAGCATAAGAATGCTTATGAACACAACTTCTCACCTTTTTTTTACAAAAACAAAAATAAAAATTAATACAACGTGTTGAAAAGTTGGATTCCACTTACAACAGCTTACATTATCATTACATAATGTTGTATAACATTACACAAAAAGGATAACATATACAATATTCATATATATTTTTGAAGAAATAATAAGAGGTTAAACTTTAATTTAGATTTAAGTTTTATTTTAAAGTTTAATTATATCAACATGTATTGTTTTACAGACATTTCATTCTTGTATATCATTCACTACTTTAATGTTGATTACAATTGTAATAGGTAACTTTGTAGAACTTATTGATACATTCTTTAACAGTAACTTAGCATGGCCTAATACTCTTTACATACAATGTATAGAGACTGGTTCTACTTTCACCTACACTGATGCTTAAACTTAGTTAGATAAAAGTTACTGATTTAGCATTTAGATATGTTTGTAAATATGTTTAGTTTGATATTAGCTTCTAGTTTTATTGTTAGAAATATTTTGTAAAACTTTATTCTTTCAATAATCATTATTCATGGTAAATGATGCTACTGCAAAATTTTCCATGAATCATAATCTATTTTGTGAATAGTTATGTAAAGTACTGATGAGCCTAAAGCATTTGTTAAGTAAATTCTGGTGGACTGTAATTTGACCAATCAGACAAGTACAGTGCCACTTGTAGGTAGATACTAGCTCCCTCCGGGATTCAGAAGTCCATTCATACAAGCATCTCAAGAAATATTGACATTCCGCTGGTAATTTTTGGAAAAGTAACATCTCTAAAAGCTCTCTAAGGTAAATTAATTAATTATTTAATTTATTTTTGGCACTTTGGCATTTAAATGAACCTTAGAGATTATTCAAATTCACTTAAACATTTTTGATAAATTTGTAAGTAATTTTAGTAATTATTATTAAGATTAATTAATATCTTTTCTTTGTTTAAAGTGGCAGCCATCTTGAATAATTAGATCTTTATTTTTCGTTGATACTGATTAAAACAGGGATTGCTACTATTTAGATTTATTAGTTAAGCAGCACAGAATCATTAAGGTTATTTTTCATATTTTCAGTTATTACATTTTTTAAACAACTTTCAACTGATTTAAATCTTTCACTTAGCTAGTTAATTCTGATAATCACATTTCTGGTTTAAATATTTACATTTTATATTACAGTACTTATTGTCAACTTGTTAAGTTTTAAGTAACTTTTAGTTTAGTGTAAATAAAAACTTAGTTCATTAAAACTTTAGTTGGTTTAAAATTCATTCAATATTTGTGTTTTATTTCCCTTTGCATTCAAAGGGTGGTGTCATCCTGACGATTAGATCTATCTTATTAAAGAGTACTCCTGAGCAAACTAAGAACATTAAAAAGTAAATATTAGGTAAAAGGTAACTAAATTCTATTTATAGAAAACATAAGGCTTTTAATTTTCAACACTACAACAATAGTGCCAAGTGGGAAAGAGGCCTGTTTCTAATTTTAGAAACACTTATTTACATATTTTTTCATCACCACAACAAGCGTATTTCATTTTTATAACGCTAAAATTGAATGTATAATTTACCCTCTGGGAATAGTGTAAACATATGCTGTTACGCAATTATGTAAATCATTTTACATCAAAATTACACCTAATCTACTACATAATTATGAAGGCTATGCAATTATCTCTATTACATTCATTTCTTGCATATTATTCTCTCATTACATACTTTTTATGCATGCATGTAGAATCGTGATGTTCAATCAATGTGTTCAAATACGATTAATTAAAAAATATGTTAATAAAATGTTATCCTATGTTATGATGTTATGTTATGTTATTAAACGCTCTCAAATATTTAGCCTTTAAATTTTCAAAAGACTTGAATATTTAGAGTGAAATATTTTTGAAACAGGCACCAACATTAATTTAAATTTACCAAATTATTTATAGTCATATTTTTGCTATTTCATGAAAAAATGAAGGTGTTTCAATTGATGACAATGTTTTTAGTTCTTCAGTTTTATTGTGTCTTATTTTTCTATTATAGCTGAAGGAGAGAAGCCTTCATACAATAAAAATCCAGAAAATGTGCTGTGACTGACTCCATAAAAACCTTTGTCGGAGTCAAGATTTTGAATTGCTACGTCATCACCTTGCTGAAGCTGAAGAATAATAGTTTGACTGGTCGTATCATCTCAACTCCCAGAGTGTCCGCCGCTTACGTACATATTTGTAATTGCTGTTCCATTTACAGCAAATTCTGCATGCGCACTGGCAAAATGGCGGGAAACAAGAGTTGTCGAGAATACGTAGGTTCCGGTTACGGGAGCAACAAAGACACCGACATGTTTGTTGTATGCGTTTCCAATGTAAGTTACGACCACGTCAAATACTACGGTTTGATGGATGCCAGCATGTTCCAGATGAGCATCCATTTTAGCAAAGAAGGCAATTGGACTTTCCACGTTCTGTCTACGTATTCTATTCTTAGAATCACCTACAATATTAGAAAGTCAATGCATACATATAAAAACCGAGAACCTGAGGGGGTTATTTGGATATATATATAATATTTAAAAATATAGAGATGTTGCTTGCTCTATCATTTTGAATTATTTACGAAATGTAAAGAGAAAAAAAAACTACTGCTATTTGGTCTGGTACATTTGAAATATTAACTATGTAATCCATGGTGACAAAATAGACCAATAATATTGAAGAAGGCAAACTAAACTTTTTTGATATGATAAAAAATGACAATGATTTGGTCAATTCAGCTTTTTAATTTGGCTTGACATATATAAGATAATTATAATTTGATATCTTGATCCCTCTCAGCTGTAGATTTTACGACAGTTTTAACTTCGGACACTTAAGCTAGATCTGATTCTTCATTTTTGTTACATGACTTTAATTTCTTTAACATTTATCGAGGTTAAAGCTGTGCTGTCGCTGTAAACGAAGCTGTTTCTCTAAGTACGCAACCTTGTTCTGTCGGACCTTATCTCGAGATTTCAAATCATTCACTTCACGAAGAAGATCTTGAACAATATTTTCAGTAGCGGTTAGTCTTTTTAACATGACATCATCCTTATCTAAAACAGTGAATGGTGTAAAAGATATATGGAGCCTTCTTGCGACCCAAAATCTAAGCAGAAATCTATCTGCAAGAGTGATTTCGTTTAACTTTAATTTGTTTTATTTTAAAACATTTAACTGTCACAGGCGCGGATCCGTTAGGTCGTCAAACACAGCAAGGTATAAGACTTATTTCAGACTTTCGTAGACAGGTTTTCCATTGGGAAGATTATCATGAGATCATTTCTTTTCCCTTTTGCGCGATGTCTTTCTAAAAGACGTAGGTTAACATCCAGACCATGGTGTTATATTTTATTTTATACATAAAAGCAAATTTGCAATAGTGGGTGGTTATGACCAATTGCCCCTTTCCCCGCCGGAACAGCCCATGCAACGCTTATCTTTAAATGGTTGTATCTCAATGTTAGAAAAATATAATGTTTTAGTCGTAAATTTAGAGAACGTTCAACGATAAGAATTTTAAAAAAAGGACACAAAATGCCCATGAACTACCATAACAAAAACATTACATTACGATAGCGCGATGATGATTATGATGATGATGATGATACTGTTGAGTTTTTACCATCGTAGTGGCATATTTTCAATATTGTACTAGTATGTCACCCTTTTGTTATCGCGTTTTTAGTAATACCACAACATTGGTTTTATCGTATTACCATAATGATCACAATATGGACTTCGGTTATCATCGCGAAAAATGAAAACAAACACGTGGCAGTTAGAGAGTACATGTTGCAATGACTAAAACACACACTACATGAATATTGTGACCAAAGTAATTCCAAAACAGAAGTCCTGTGCTGTTGCAATAAAGTCACCTTTATGCTAAAAAACATTTATTTAAATCAATCGGTCCGAAATAAGACCTTATTCTCATCCGTATTACATGTCCGTTCCCTCCTTTCGCCGCCCATATGTCCTCTGCAGGTCATGGTTCGGTGCCTTCTGGTTGCCCTGCTATTGTGGCTGGTGTAGTGTGTCGAGGGTTGCGTATAAGTTTTTCTATGTTAATTCATATTAATCCTTTCATTAACTAATAAATGAACTAATTTACACCCTTGTTTTATTTGTAGCCAACAAAGGTGAATAGACTGGAACCAGGTAAACGTCCGAGGTCATCGATAGCGCCAACTATCGTCGCTGATAATGAAGATAATGTCAAATTGGTTACTGGAGGGGCCGGAGGATCGTATATAGCTACAAAAGTTGCCCAGGTACCAGTGCTTCTTGATATAGATTACATAAATTACTTAACTTTGAGCCGACGGTGCTGCTTATTAAACGATGGTTTACAGTGTTGGAATAATATTAATTAAAAGGAGCCATTTCTTTAAAACTTTCTAAGGAACATTATACACCGGCTTGTTGAAACATTTTGATATTTAACATATTACGTATTGTTGAAAAAAGTCTACAGTCTAAGTACAAACATTATTAAATATAACATCAAAGGAGTGAATCTTTAGACGATGAAATCAACCCATTGTTTACTCGTACCAACTTAAGTTTTCGTCGTAAAATAGGAGCTGACAGTCTTTTTACACAATCATGTCTTTCATGATTAGAACTATCTGAAAGCATCATGACTTCCGATTCATGTTCATTTTCATGAAAATGTAGAAAGTTTATTTACCAGTAACACTTTTTTAATTTAACAAACAAAGTTATTTACACGTCACAAGCAATTTTATTGTATTGAATGTTTGACAAAGGTTTTGTCGCTCAACATGCCCTAACAAGAGGCAATGGATTTCAAACGAAAACACCATAAGTTGGCTGATAACACATTGTATCAGGAAAAAAGTTTTCCAGAGATAATGTTTCCAAACATATTTTTTAAGTATGCGTTAAACATGCGAATACCGCCTTGTTTATATTTGTCTTTTTACTCAAATTTAATGCTTCAGAAAACAACGTATATGCAAGAAACGCTTATATTTTTTCTTTGTGAAACGTTTCCAAGAACGTTTCGTACTCTCTGGGGGACAAACTGATATTTGCCGAGTTCAGGACAACTTCTATTGTTGATGACCGTGAAAGTCTTATTGTTTATTTCCCTTTTTTCATTACACTACTTAAAAATATTTTTTTATTTCAGGATATGAAAGAACTTTTTAACGATGCCGAAGGAAGAAAACATGTAGCTAAATTTTCAACTTTAAGACCCTTTTCTGTCGTTGAGTCTATATAGGTAGATGATAATGGAACCATCTTCGGAAATGCGGATAAAAGGAAAAAACAAGGCAACGCCAGCTACATGTATAGAACAGTTAAAGCAAAAAGTTAATACATTGTATACTTAATATGGTGATTAAATGTTTTTACAAAAGGGATCTCGTTTGAATCTTATCAGCATTTAGAATATTTATGATTGATATAAACGTGACTATAGAGGTAAGTACTTGAATAAAATGTATGATATTTTGGCATAAATGTGTAGCAAAGTGATGATCTTGACTGCAAATGGAGGAGTGCTACAAACGGCTTATGCCACAACTTGAATAGATTTAGTTTGAGTATTCATGTGAAATGTACAGCAAATCAGTCAGATGATGTGTTTACAAGAACATAAATTAGAAGCGCCATATTAACAACAATATTTCGTCTTAAAAGTTGTTCGTTTTACAAAACTAGTAGGAAAATATTTCTTGTTGGATTTAGTTCTGAATTTGTGATTTTGTGCTAAGTTATTTGTACAAATTTTATTTAATAGAGTCATGATATTGTAATTATCTCTATGATTTATTTGCATGAAATAAAAGAATGGATAACTCTTAACGCGAGGTTTGCAAAGTGCTTTGACAGACTGGATGGTGATACATTTTTATGAAAGGCATGATTCACAATATAAAACATCATTTAGTTTATAATGAATATACATTTCGGTTATTTTTTATTAAAGTTATTCCTACGTCGGTTATATATTCAATTATTTGCATGCTTGAATAAACAAAATACTTACACAATTATACAATTAATTTATTCTATAAGATCATTACATATAACACTATGACAGTCTCTATGTCTGTACATTTCAAAATGACAAGGTCATTTTTATACAATTTTGAAAATAAATTTGAATATAAAATCTGTTTGCCTTGTAAGACGGCCAATACAAATATGCCATGGTTTAGCATGCAAACATAATAATTGTAATCTCCATTTATCCAACTTATGTGTGGATAGTGATTTTTTAAATCTACACAGTATGTGAAAATGCAATGGAATAAGCTCGACACAAAAAAGAGCCGGCATTGATTGAATTAAATGACAATGGTTTAGCAAAACGTACACATGATAAGACAATGGTTTTACGTAATGTTTGTTTAACGTAGTATACTGACTTCAAAAATATCAAAATACGACCTATGAGAGAAGATATAGAATCATGTGGACAGGGACAAATCTAACATCACATACATCTAAGGGTTATACACCAAGGTCTTATTTTGACTTTTTATTGCTCCAGTCTTTTACATTTCTATTAATAAACGAAAGCACCTTTGCTGTAGTGTTTGTACTTCTTTCAAGTTTGCATTTTCATTATAATAATTGTCTTTCGACTGATGTCTGTTTTCACAATTACAATGATTCTCACGCTTTCACTAATGTCAATTTATACATCTGACATACATAACTTGAAGTCCTGAACCGAGTAGAATATCAGTCAATTCTTCAAAATCATGAAAAATTAAGACTTTTTAATCACTGTTTGAAGTTACTTATATTAGGACTTTTTTTAAATTTACATTTCATAACAAGGTATATTTGCAGACAATAATCATTGCAAGTCATATCTATCACTTGACATGCATGTAAGTTAAAGTTAAAGAAATACAATGTTAATATTATAAGTCATGTTGAAGTTGTTGACAAATGCACATTTTCCCTTTCTTAACATTATGCCGATTGTATGACGCGTCTGGTAGAAAATCAAAATCATCTGCCATAATATGAAGACTTTGCTCAAGATGTCTTTCAATTAATATGTCTGCATACATCTGAAAATAAAGATGTCAAGCTAAATAATTATATTACAATTAATGACTTTGAGTCGTGTTGTATTAGAAAAGAAACATAAGGGCGTCCGTGGCCGAGTGGTAAAGGTCGTTGACTTCAAACCACTTGCCCCTCACCGCTGTGGGTTCGAATCCCGACAGGGACTTTGGATTCTTACATGTGAGGAAGCTATCCAGCTAGCTAACGGAACGTCGGTGGTTCTTCTCATGTGCCCGTTCGTGCCTGAAATAATGCACGGAAGGGAACCTGAGGTCTTCCTCCACCAGTAAAGCTAGAACGTCGCGATATGACCTATACTGTGTCGATGTGACGTAAAGCCCCCAAAAACAAACAAACAAGGAAAGAAACATAGGATAAAATGCCGATATAAAAATAAAAGAAAAAGTACAATGATAAGGCCTCTCAAAGTTGAATAAGGATAGCTCCAAAATATGTTCTCACAAAGTAAATCTGGCTTAATATCATGTTATACAATCCTAATCACATGAAATGAATTTTGAAAAAGTATGGCAATCACGGATCACAGACATTTGAAAAAGATTTCCTTTAGAGGTACCAATTGCCAATATGTTTATATAATTTTATAAAATATATGTACTACTAAGATCAACATCTTGTTTCACCAGATTTATTCTATTAATATCCCCGAAAGAAGTATCTACAGCATATATTTTAAAGTTAATGTTTTCAAGTGTCTGGGATGGACGAACCGACCTGGTTGTGCTAAAATGTATTGAAATGACTGTAATACAATAAATAATTACGTTGGAAGTATTAAGAATCAGATACATAATCCGATTTTACATATATTCAAATAGCAGATAATAAAATGTTCTAGAATAAATTATTATTATTCATCATAATAATATTTTTTCCAGCAATATATTATAAGAATATCAAAATGAAACATTTCTATAACTATATGTATCAATGTTTGAAATACGTAGGAAAATGTGCTTATTGTAGACAAATCCACTTAAATTATATATATTATAATAATTAACGTAAGTAAACCATTATCATACCACTAGCTACACTACAAACCTTGATGGACACAAAAAATCAAAATCAAATAAAAAAGAGAATAATCTTGTTTCATGAATGAACATTTCAAAATCGCATGAATTGGCAATTGTCTACATCATATTTTTAAATTAAAATCAGCAAGGTGTACTCAGTAAAACTTTACCTCGGGTGTTAATGTCCGATCAACCAGTGTAACATTCCTTGATCTGATAATACCAACAAAGTACTCCTAAAAGGAATATTAAGTAAGATGGTGGTTAAATCTAAATCAGTGAAGGACACAGTGTTCAAAATATATGCAAATAATTATGTTAATCCTTGAACAAAAGAAACAAGAGCTTATAAAAGTTAAGACAACAGCACCAACTATATATGTTATGTTTGGTCGCAGTAGAAATGAAATATATTTCTTAAAGAATATAAGGCAAACTCTCAAATGTTTAACTTTAATGCACTACATAACGTGCATGTTAGTAAAAATGAAACAGAAAATATCAACATAATATTTCTGTGTTGTTACAGTAATAAAAAAAGAAAACAAAATATGACAAGAGTGATGTTAACTTTGAGCAATGTGCAATGTTAATTTGTATATAAATGCTAGAATTATGAAATATGTCATGCATCAGGTAAGCGATGGAAATAAATGACATTTAATATAAGTGTGAAATATAGATACATTTGGTAATGAAATAGGTATTAAACAAAAAAGACAGTTACAAATGAATTGTTGATTATTAAAGACTGACATAAGTCATCTAGAGTAATATCACTTATCATACATGGTGCTGGTGATGATAACGATCATATAAATATGTGTATTTACAGTTTGATGTAATCACAAGAATAATAAAAACACTAATGTTATAGTAAAAATAATTCATTAAACATTTGTATTTATGTTGCGAACATTTTCTTGTAAGAAAGTAACATTAATATTTAGAAATAATTACATAATTATAGTAAATTTTAACAATTTTAAGAGTTCTCATAGTTTAAAGGGAACTCATTTGGTCACTAGTGCTATGAGCCTTACTATGTATGATGTGCGTGGACAAAAGCCAACATCATTAAATTTCATGTAATGATATAATGAAAGAGCAAAAACCTTTAGAAATAAATGGACGCGGGCGCTGGAACTTGGATAGCTCTGCCCATATACTTCGTATAATGGAGGTATAACAGTTAACGAAGCATAGCCTTTCGGAAATCGGTAAAAAATAAACAACAAGTTTCTATCTTATCTTAATTTGAATATTTTATATGGGGACATACAGCAATTGTCCTAGATGAATGTATAATGAAACAAAGTCAAAATACAATGTACATAGCCCCCATTCAGCGATATATTTCTTCACATTTAAAGGTATATGAATTAAATAAAAGCTTTAAAATACTAGTTTGATACTTTTAAATGTGAAGTAATACAGTATACATTGTATAGCAAAATAGGAGCTATGAACATTGAACTTAAATAAAATATCATAAAAATTTTAACAATATTCTCATATACAGTATTATATTATAATTATATACAAATGGTCAAATATTACCTTACACCTTGCTATGTTGTATCTCATTACAAGGAGCTGAATACAGTCAAGGAATCAACAGGCAAACCATATTAAAAGCTCATTTGCTTATTTGTTAAAAGGAAACACAGCAGCAAACAAGTGTAATCATTTTTGCCAAACCTTTTTATAGATTGTGTAGAACTGTATGTAACAATGATGTATATTCGAATATGCAATAAAATATTGTTAAACTAGATATAATTCAATAAACAATTTTTAGCCAAACCATTTTGTATTTTGTGTAAAAATGTGTCACTTTCAAAAAACAAATAAAAATATTTAAAAAAGATAAATAGATATCACTTTTGTAAGGTTTAAATATTAACGTTTAAAAGTTGCAATGCAGCAACAACAATATTAATTGTCATGTATTAAATGAGAATTTGATATTAAGGTATGACGTCATGAATCTATATCTATATGCCAGTAAAAATATTCTAAATTAATAAAGGTATATACAAAAAATATTCTTGACTTAGAAAATGCTCCATGCCACTGTATTTGAAAGATGGAATATTTTTGACATAGGAACTGTAACGTCGTTTAAAACAAGCGATAATTTTTGCAGACCCACTGACCCTTAGAAGGATAAACCTTCTGCTGTTAAAAACAAAAGCTTTTTCATGGCGCTGGCCAGTGAAAAACTTTAACCAAATAAAAATAACAATACTTTGAGAAGTAAAAAATCACCATTTATCGGTCATAATTTGCTTTTAATGATAAACATAATATAAATAAAAAGTGTTTTCAAAGGATACAGATGGTTTCTTGTTCCGCCGTCCAGTGAACAAAAATAAAACATTATTTTCAATACATTCTTTACCGACTTTCCGCCAGAGGTTTGATTGTAGAGAGAAATCCCGCTGAAAAGATTTTTCAAATTAATGTAGAGAAATCCCGCTGAAAAGATATTTCAGTTCTATCTAGAAAAATCCCGCTGAAAGGATATTTCAATTATATCTAAAAAATTTCATTGGACTAAGACACATTACTTTTAAGAAATTAATTGTTATCATTATATTTTTTGTATATTGTATAAAGTGCCTTCATCATTCTATGAGGCTACAATATAATTATAAATTATATTTTCTATGTTGTTTAAACATCATGAATGAAAAAATACTTCGGAATAAAATAAGTCTTTCTTTAAGTGTTTAAACAAATAATTAGTGTAATGTACCTGTTTCCTATGGCAGCACATTGGCAAGAAGCAAATCATTATTTGAATGATTATAAATAAACAAATAAAGGCCGTTATTAACATATATTGAATCCAATAATCTGAAAGATCATATTCCCTTCCTCTAGTAGCAGTATTAAGAACCCATGCCTCTTCATAAACTGCAATTATCAACGCTAAAAGTGGTAGCAGAAAAAACGTCCATGCAAAGTTTTTACATCGGTAGAGATAATCGTATGAGCACATAATGAGATCCTTGTTCACGAAATCGACAGTCGTTTTTAACAGCTTTTCTGGAACCTGAAATAAGGAAACGAATTTGCACTGTAAACACATACACGGATTTCTCTTTGTTTGTGGAGAAAAATAGAATTTATCCATAGCACGATTAAATTTGTTTTTGTAAATCATTTACTACTAATATCTAATATTGTTATTAATTTTGGTCGAAAAACATCAATCGCAACTTTTCAGCCCTTTATGTCAGTCTTTAGATAAGGACATCGAACACAATAGACACAGAACGGATACGGTATGTCGGTCTAACCTACCCTAAGAAATAAAACATGTAGACGAATAGTAATTAAATGCTTAGAGTTATTGACAAGTTTTTTTTCTCATCAACATATCAAGTAAAAGTGCACCTAAATAACTGAATTCATACATAAAAAAGTAAAGTAAACAGTGCATTATTTATTTACTGATTATAATGGTTGTAGAAACCGAAAAAATAAAATGCAAACCTGTTGACATTAAGTCCGATTGATTATAATTGTACATCAGTGAGCATATTTAAATTGAAAATGGTTGTCAGACATATTCTAAATCACAAATGTACCGAAACAGACTTTATTTTCCTTTGGATGTCAAATATGTACATTCGTTTTACATCACCGAGGATTACGCTAACATCAGATACCATGTGTTTGAACTACTTTCAATCCGTATTGACTCCAAGGTTATTATGAATAACAACCGAGGACGTTCCGATTGGAGTATCATTACATATAATCCAATAAGAAACCACCGTTTTGGTTATGCGTCACCATTTGGTCTGTTTTGAAATCTTGAATATCGCTGACGGATTTTCTAGTGATCAAATCTCACCTTACAATCTTTATCTATTAAACAAAAATAGTTTAACAATAACAAAGGATCAATATCTAGTTAAGACCATCGCCTATCGACAAAGAAATTTGAAACACAAAAAGTAAAAAACAACAAGATACGAAGGCGAAAACGCAAATATGCGAGGACGAAAATGCGAAAATACAATGATGAAGATGCAAAGACAAGGCAAGAAAACAAAGAAATAATTTCAAGTCGATAATTGTCGCGTTTTTTTTTGTCATATATTTTTCAAATTTTCATCATCGTTTGTTTCGTTTTTTTTAATCGTTTCCCTAATTGCATGTTCGTGCTTTCACAGTTCCGTACCTTTTTTTTCACCTTCCGGTAAATATCAGCATAACTAGAGGAACATTTGCTCGCTTTCAGCAACATTAAATGGCAATAGATACGTTATTATCATCAAGGAGGTTTAACGTGAATATGTTAGCAATCGTGTGTTTAATATCTTATACTTTTGTTATTGGATGGAAATTTTATAATTATGTTAATGATTTCAAAGCATTTACCCCAGAAGTTTTAAGACATTTTATTTAAAACCGTATGCTAGGGTTGCATAGACATATAGCAGACAAAATGAAAACTGTTAAATAAAGTTTATTGAAACTTTGCTAGATGTAGGAATAATTATAATAACAGACTCAAATATTCAAGCAAAAATATTTAGGATCATCCACCTAGTTTTCTAGTTGCCTGCCCTTGAATTTAAAAAAAAAGAGAATTAAATTTGTCGTCATATTTCAAAGAAATCAGTATCAAAGGATGAGAGGTGGCCTTGTGGTTATAAAACCCATGGTCAATTACTGTGTTGTGAAACTCTATCTCTCAACACAGTGACCATGAGTTATTTTAGAGGATTAAGATAGAAAGGATAAACAAACTGAAATGGCAACAAACTGAATGGATAAAATATGTAATAGAAAATACGACGGGGCATATCCCCCGAGTTTAAATCAGATTGCCGAGTGTGTTGATTTTTTTTGTTTTGTATCATAGTCAAACATAAAACCCATTCCCTATTGTCACAATATGAAATCCAAGAAAAAGGTTGCCAATGAACGAGCATCTGTAAATGAAATTTCTCTCGCTTTTCCTTTCTCGGCCGTCACAATAAGTAAACCAAAGCAAAAATTAGCCAATCAATGGGCATACTCTGGAGCTGCTTCATTTGATAAAGACATACCTCAACCTTGTTTTCCTTCAATTTTTCTATGAGGTTATCATCAATCAAAAATCGGTACTTGGCAGGTCTGATGACACTTAAGTTATCTCGTACAGCCGGAATTATAAAACAATATCCATTCTCGTCTAAAATGTATAAATAATCAATGACAATTCATTTTTTTATCGATGTATAGGCAAAGTTTTTCCCCTGATATATCTGATATAACACTGTACACAGAAGACGTAAAAACGTGTTAAAACAATAGAATTATTAAAATATTATAAATATGCTATTTTAGGTCCAGTTTCATCACATTTATATCAAATATCCGTTCTATGATGATTAACAGAAGAGAATATATGAAATGATAAATTTCATCCTGATCTTTATTTCTTAGTTAACACGGAGCCTGGTTTACGTAATATAAACTCAACTAAGGTATCAGTTTATATAATGGATATGTCAAAACGAATCATTGAAAATTAAAAGAAATTAAAATACATTCTTGTTTGGAAAGAAACATGTCTATGCTACTTTTATTTAAAAAGTTTAACTTACATTGTTTGTTAAAAGCCCGAATGTTGAGAGAGAATAAACCGTCATCGGTAGCTAGAAAAAAGGTAAAATAAGATTTTAAAAAGTAAAGTAAAATGCATATAACCCGTGTAAAACAACATTTGTTCTGAAATAATATGTTTTGACATATCTTATTTCAGGAATAAGGTATGTTGAAAGAGTTGGGAAGGAGTTTTAATGCAGTTTACGACGGGGTCCCCAACTAAATTTCATACAAACATGTTTTTATCAGCATGCTGCAGTTACTTCTGCTTAGTTCGATTCTTTAGAAATGAAATAGATTAACGGTAAAGAGTTACTGCACCTTGTATTCGTGCATTAACATCTACGGAAGCACACAGACACAGGAAAAGTGGTCTAAGAAGTTTGAAGGCTTCTGCAGATGTTTATTCCCGCAAAACGGGGCATAAGCGCTATTCTTGTATAAAACTATAATTATGCCAAAACAGCAGACAGCGCAGTTGTCAATATAAATTATTGAAATGGATTTTTTCTTTTACAATACATAAATAGCTACAGACGAGTAACCTTTAGAGTAAAATCATTGATTTTATATTTAATTGGTTCGTCTTCTCAGGTAGTACAAAGAGCGTACGAAGCGTTTAACGATTAAGTACCGTACTCTTTCCACTTACTATTGTATATAAATATTGACGTAAAATCAGGTTTAAATAGACATGCGAACCCCGAAGTACAAAATAATATATGCTCGCACTACTTTCGGAAAGGTCCATGTAATTGAAAGAACTCATGTTAATGAATATTACTTTTTATAAATCTATTCATTGTAAAATAGTTTACGATAGTAGCTTCATGTATATTTTTAATTTACTAGAGTTTAAATTATTAAGATATGATTATGCTTTCGTTATATACAACATTTATTCATAAAACATACCAGGGCGTAGTAGTGAAGCTGCAATTTTAGCTGGCACATCTAATCCCAGAATAGTTGCATCAATGTAGGTCAAGGTCACAAGTACGGGCGGTATCTCACACTCTTCAAGCAGTACAGGCACAATACAGCTATAGCCACAACCCATAGAGTTTATAAATGCGGCGTCAGTTTCATATTTACACCAGCCACTTGCTAGAAAATTTGGTGTTAGAAACAGTAATACCTTTAAAGAAGACATCATTCCTTCACGTATATTTACTGTTATATCCTTCCCACCCTGAAAGTCCCGTTCATCAAACACACACTGTAGACCAAATCTCGTTTCGACGTCCTCAATTACTGAATGAACACGTTCTTTGTCTAAACTGGTGTAAGAAGCAAAGAAATGCTTTGTTTTCCCTTCAGGTAAAGGTGGTATCTTAGCTTTTAAATCCTGATCACGGCAATCATTTGCAGAATGTTCTGAATTATTTTCTGTACTCGTAGCCATGACTGAATTTTATTTCTACACAACTATGTCTTTCAAGTTCAAATCAATGCTAAAAATATACAATGGGAATTCCAGCGTGTTAACCGACACTATTTTAATATGAATAATGGCGTATTTGAGAATATCGGTGTGTGTTATTTACCTTATTGGATTTGTTCTACATGTAACAGGCGTAAGTTTGCTTTTTATCTACTTATTCTAAATCACCTTTTGCTCTGGATTCATTAAATTAAATGTGTGGCGAATATTGTCATTTTTATCTATATCATAAACATTTGGCAATGTGATTTATATTAGAGATTTCCCCTTGGACGTAAAACAGAAATGAAATACATATGAAATTTAACGAAATATTCGTGTAATCATCTGATAAAATTTTTTTTATCCTACATAATATTCGTACAAAGTTTAAAATATTTATTATATCGAATAATTTCGGAGCACCTTTAATACACATTAGTTATGAAACCGATCGTCTACAATATTTAAAGTGCTTTCGTTGCGATTATTACAGCGTTGGAAAATTATATAAACAGAAACATGTACAAAAGTGTTGTTATATTTTTCTGATCCTTTTGGATTATTGATGCCGGCACTATTAAGTTTTGAGAATTTAGTAGCAACTTTCAAGTAATTTTGTTGTGATTAATGCTTCCGAGGGGTCACTTTGTTTACACCCAACACGTGAGATTTTATCAGTACCCGACTGCCTTAGTTTGATTTGAAATTGTTCTCTACGCTTGTGATCATGGTTTATGACATCTTTAAGACATCTTCAACTGTTATGTTTGAAATATGATAGGAAAATTGTATATTGCTTCAAAATGGCGTTTGTATTATTCAATATCCAGAGAGCATAAATTAAGAAATTTCATTTATTAACATTATTAATATAAAGTTAGTATAAAGTTTAGAACAAAAATGGACAAATACACTACATATATTTTTACATAGCAGACAAAACGTTTTAGATGTGATTGCTAATAAAGTAGTAGGAGTATCTTGTGTGTAGTCAACCTCATTTTATTTTCTTATTTATGTTTAGTAATTGTAAAACAAATGAATTGTAAACCTTTCTATTCAGTAAGTGTCTTTGTGTATTGATCTCATTCCAATAACATTTTAAATTGTTTAATGCGCTATTAACTAACCAAATGTAGCAGTATATTGTTACAAATAAATAGAGCAGAATATATTTGGGTGTCATTAATTTTATCGATAAAGTAAAGCGTGTATGAGTTTAACTTATTTACATACTTAATAAAGAATTACATTACATTTTTGTCACCCTATAATTTGAAATTATGTTATTTCCACTCAATATATTTAGTTCTACGGCTAAATAAATTCCGTAGCAGATTATGTAGGGGATTTATTTAATACAGATGGTGTATGGAGGAGTGTTTGTAATTTGCAGGGACTTAAAATTGTTTTGGTAAAATTATACCTTATACAGGATCAATGCATTTATCAATATCAAAACTATATCCTTTGCAAGTTTTACTAGTGTCTGGCTAGGCATCGGTTTTATTTTTTTTTAATCGTAGAATATCTTTCAATCATTCTACATTGAAAGTAGAAGAGTCTCTTTCAATCATTCTACATTGACAGTAGAAGAGTCTCTTTCAATCATTCTACATTCTACAATTTAGTATAATTTGTTTAGAAATTGGCGGAGCTTGTATTTAAAAGAGACCCATGAAACGGAATAGCTCTGACTTTCTATTTAGATTCTTACTCATGAATATAAATTCCTTAAATAACATGACAATCTAAACCAATCTGCTTCTGTTTCAGTCACCATTGACATTTAATGACGAGACATTGATATACTCACAACTAAATATGTTATGTCCATCTGATAAGCCTTTAATAACGAACACCGAAAACCGGTCTGTTTGTGTTTCATCATGCGGACCTACAATGGTGGCAGATGGTAAAATCTGTATAAACGTTGAAGATTGTAAAAAGCCTGTGCTGTCTGATGGAAAATGCATGATAATGTGTGACAAAGGATATTTGTACGTCACGTTTGAAGATGACCTCTTTAGTGACTGTGGTACTGAATATAATGAATGTTACTATTCAAAGAAAAATATCGGACAGAAATTGTGTGAAAAGAAAACTTTTATAATTTTGAAAATAATATGTTATGTTATTGGGATCATTCTATATATTGTCTTTCTGTTGATGTTCTTCTCGAAAAAGGAGTTTCCATGTAATAAACTCGTGAGTATAAATTCTTATCCGGATTTAACTATCTCAAGTACTCGACATATCTTAAATCTCTGTATAACAACTTTTGTAATTACACTGATCTGTTATTCTCCTTCAGTAAAAAATTCAATTAAATTGATTAATTGATTTATTAAGATTGCTCGTTACGTTGAGAAATGACAATTTTTCATCCTTTATAAGTAACGAATTGACAACTAATCCCTTACTCTATTTCAGATAATGTGGTTAAAAGTCAGAAATCACATGAAAAAGTCATCGTCACGTGATTTGCTGTGTAATGAAGACATAACATATGACGGATTTTGTAAAAATTAATCTACCAGACATACATCAGGTTTCATGTTCTTAATGATGTCTTCATAATAATTTAGTGATCTTGATCAAAGTTAGTGTCTTTGTGTCTTTTTTTACAAAGGATTATCCATTAAGATCTAGGAAGAATTGTTTGTGTAATCAACTAATATAAAGAATATGAGAAATGTTTAATTTTATGCGTAAGACAATAACTAAATAAAAAAAACAACCACAAAAAAACACTATAACACAATATAGGCAAATGTTATCTAAGTGTCGTAGAATCAATAATAATAAATGGCATTAAATAACACGATATTTGCAAAAAAATGTTTATTTCATTTGTGATAGTAAGGGAAAGAAAACACTTTGCGAGGTAAAACTGTTGCTTATTATCACATTGATACCATAACTTCTTTACTGATGTTAAATGACTTTGATGTAATAGATCTTAATTCCCTCTTCTCAGACGGACATTGTCTCCTTTTACTAAATATCATATTTCTATGCAAGAAGGGCACCTGAGGTCTTCCTCCATCAGTAAAGCTGGAACGTCGCGATATGACCTATACTGTGTCGATGTGACTAACACCCAAAACAAACAAACAAACAAACTATGCAAGAATAACCAAATGTTTTAGCCAATGAACCTGAAATGAAGACGTCCCATAACATATGTGACGATAAAAAATCCAGACAATTCTTTGGTTATATAGATTTACAAGCTGTGCAAGAGATAGACTCTATGTTGAGTGGCTATAAACAAAAACGAAACCATGAATACAGTTGCTGAAAATTCTTAAAAAAACATTTATTAATTTAATGCAAATTCTACCAAAACAAAAATAGCACGAATAAATCTAGGTTAAAAATATGCTTGTAAACAATATATTAAATAAACAATTTGAAACCATAAATTGCAAATTGCATGATTGTTTTAATTTCTCAAAATATATAAACTCCCAAATATACTTTAACGAAACTTTTTCAGCCCCATTACTTAAAATGATAAAGAACTCTGCAAACAAGATATCAGCTAGGTTATTTTGAAATTAAACAAGAGCCACCGCCGTGCTGGGACCGAGCTCGATTCTCATTCTTATTTCTAAAGTGAAACACATTGGAGAAATATTGTAGTAACGAATGCTACTGACACATAACTGTTTTAAACTAATAATAATTCAAATATCATATTTGACCTATACGGCAATGTCATTAAAAGGTCGGGATCATATGTGAATTTAAAATCATGTCAATTTTGTCTTTTTGTATGTTCTTGTGTACAAAATGAATCAAATCCTTAAATAAACAAGTAGTATAAAAACACTTGGATTTTCATGACGCGCACAAATGATCAGTTGGGCAACACAATGTAAGCGAATGAGAGAATTTTTGGAAACATGAGCTTTTAAAAATGTTTCTCAGCTGAATATAAATGAGACAATCTATTGACGATAAACATTCAAAATATCATAAAAATATTATCTCAAGTCATTGTAAACAAGGACAAATGTTGCTGCAATGTGCAGCAATTGAGAAGCTCCGCGCAAAATAAGGCGCTCATTACATATACCTTACCAAATCATTCCTACGCACAGGTCATTTTCTATTTAGATTAAGTACCATTGTACATTATTCCGGATGTTTTTTAAATCATTTAAATTTGCATAATTATACTTATCGTATGCACCGTCCATAAGAGAGAGAGAGAGAGGGGGGACAGGTATTAAATTAAAAGAAATGCTTTCACTGATGCCTACCTGGTAAGGACAGTAATTCCAATACAAACAAGACTTACACGACTTGTAATGTGACTTGACAGTAGTAAAACGCTGTCCTGTTTGTGTCACTACTGTAGTCATTAAAATTAGATTATAAAAATATCAAAGCATGTGCTTTTATTTTCAATAAGAATGCTCTATTCATTTTCTACAAATGTGAACAACTAATTATGGTAATAATAAAAAATTATCCATATGTAAATAAGTCAAAACAAAAACGTTCATTGTATTTTTCAAAATGTCCGTTACATGTTTCGCGGCAAATGGCTTTTCAGGACATGACAAGAAAAGCACTGATAGAAAGCATCAAAAGGCGTCCAAGCAAGAAATTGAACTAGTAGACACCTAATGACTAGATATTCTTACAAATTTTTCAATGGGTAATTGAATTTTACCGTAATTGTATGTCATTTATGAAAGGGCGTCGAAAGATATTGTTCATCATGAACTTTGGTAGGTATGCTAGAGAATAGCTGAATATTAAATGTATTTTCTTTGGAACACACAAAACAGTAGTCAAAATGAACAAAGTCTGTTAATTTGACTAATTGCCAGGTTAATGTAGATTTTGGTAAAATTGCTTCAAAAACCTCGTGTGACCCACCAATGTGTTTACATTCCTACCAATAAACGCATAATAACAACTCATGTTAAAACTGAAAATGTCTGTTGTTAAAATGTCGTTATATTCTGCAAATTAACATTCCACTCAAACTACCATAAAACTGTCACACAACGTCAAAATAAAAGCGAAAGATAAAAGTATGGAAGCCAGAACTATGTCAATTTAAATATTCACGGTAATAATGGCATAAGTGCAATCAGGGACAAAAAAAAGAGCCTACAAAAAAGACGTAAAATTAGTAAAAATGGCCTTTTTTATGAAAAAAAAAGAGTGCATTTCGTTGTATATTTATTTTTTGTTTCGTCTTTTATTCTGCATTCCCAGCGGTGGAGGCTAGAAATTTGTTCCCATTCTCATTCATTACTATTACATGCAAGGGGAAACCAATATTTGTTTTTTTCATAATAGAAATCGGAAGGAAGTCATGACTCCGAATTTATTTTTAGCTGTAAATCGAAGGCAATAATTGATATAATTCGGGTCCATGGACAGAAAAAATAGTGAACACAAATAGCCTGTGGGCGCGGAGCAATAATAAATTTATGACTTGTATTTAAGTACATTTTGTTTCCGCTGATTTGTTTGTCAGATAGAAGACAATTTATGATTATAAATATTCCTGAAACGCATTCTCATTGAAGAATACAAAAAAACCCATACATTGAAGAGTTTCGAACTATTGTAACGAAAGTTTAACAAAAAAACTTTTTGTGAAACTACGACTAAAGTATTTAGTACTAACGTAAGCGTAAAAAGCTACGACGATACTTAACTTACGAAATTTTGAACTATGGTCAGATTTGAACGTTGAAATAATTGGATTTATATTCGGATTAGAAAGTTTAAACAACGTTGAAATTCAACGTTGGTACAACGTTGAAATTTCAATGCCATTTCAACATACTTTAATTTTAATATAAAGCAAAGTAATGAATATAATGAATAAAATATAGAATTACCTGAAAAAAAAAACAATTGAAGCGAGGATTATAGGCCGCCATATTGTTTGTACGCGTAACCGTAAATGTCACGTGGTTCCTTACCGTGTTTAAGCCCCCGATTGATCTGTGCCTGTTATAATCACATAAGTTTGCTTAATATGGTAAAGTCACATAAATATATGGTCAATTCAATATTATTTTTCTATCAATTTTTTAAGACATAATAGTTAAACATTACTTGAATATCTTGGTTAACAAAGTGTACTGATCCAATGTGTGAAGAAACTAATTCGAAGTCGAAATTCGAAATTTTATAGTTAATCATTCGCTGAATAAATGGTTTATATATGTTATAAAGAATTGTGCTGCCTTGGAAAACTGTCTTTGAAACGCAATCTCAAATCATTTACTTCCACTGTTTCGTCTTACTGCCCGTATACATTGTTCTCTTTCATGATTCTTTTCACCATTTATGTTATGTATTACTTACCACAGTACAAACGTCTACACAGAACATACTACTTTTTAGTTGCTTTGACACACCCGTAATTGTATAATTTACACTTTGTTTGCAAGTGATGGAAATGCAATAATATACCAAATTTCTAAACAAATTTTACATTAAAATACTGCCGCTTAACCTGAGCATCGACAAACTAGGTCAGAAATTACTATATGTATACTACAGGATAATGCTTCTACGCGGAGGAATCGTTATTTTTAAAATTACTTCAATCACCAAAAAACAGATATTTTAGCACAAAAGTTATTTCCTTATGTTTTACTGGCATTCCAGCTCTGTATTAAAATCTTTTATACATAATTTGTAGTTCTATGTTTTTGCTTTACAGAAAGACACAGGCAAAAGTTTCATTTCTTCGTTTTGATTTATCATTTTATTAATAATTCTGTAAATGGCCCGCAAAATGAATACAATAGACCGTCACAGTAACAAAACTTTACTCATTATAAAGTATAAAATGGTGGTTCCCTAACTTGACCCACGTGGGTCAGGATAGAGCGTTAAGATTTCACAATATTTATCACGATGAACTCTGGAAACGTTGTAGAACGAATAAATGGTTTAGGTTTATTTCAATCATACAATACCAGTTATATCTGTTGCTTTGTTCAAATCAAATGACTAGTTTTAAAAATAATTGGTGATTCTGTCGGCGTCTAAATTTCATTCAACATCGAATGATATATTTACGCTTGAAACCCAAAATATATAGAATTTATACACAAATTCATGCTTGGACTTTAACAAATCTCATTTTAGCGTGATTTGAGTACATAAGATAATTTTGATATTTTTGTCATTTATTTGCCTGAGTATTCTTTAAAACCGTATTTGGCTGTATTTCGGATTGGATAAAGTAGGACAAAGTAGCGCAATTATTACGATGTTTTATCGTATATATGATATTATTTTGTTTTGATTTATCAGTCAGATAACGAACGATATTTGCAATTAAACTTGAACGTAAACTCTTTCACCGAAACCCGACATTATGTGTATGATTTATATGATTAAATCTTTTACTATTTGTTAATCTTTTACTATTTGTTAAGATGTTATTCGGTTGGAGCCGTTGAAATCCCATGTGTAGATGAAATTTCAATGAAAGCGCCTGAGGGCAAGTCCGTTGCAATAAACACAAAGATGAATCAAAAATGCTTTACGTGAATTGTTAAATAGCAACAAACAAAACAAAATCAGACATATTGTCTTATATAGATTTTCAGCACTGACCGATAATTTTCTATATGTTTAAAATAAGAAAAATGAATCAGCTAGAAATATTCATGTTAACTTTACAGTCAGTGCGAACAATGATTAAATAGTTAAATGAATACAATCGCCAATGTCCTACGTAACATTATTGGTAGTTCTTTGCTCATAGGGTACACAAGACTGATTCAAACGGCCTTGCTCCACTGGGAAAAGAGATAATTAGCAGTTCTGAAATGTAAAAGAGATAATATAAAAGGGTTATGGTATTATAGGTTAATACTGTGTACAGTCTACCTTTCTGAGAGTTTATTAGTTGTGAGATTCTTGTTTATATTCGTTGATTAATTTGTTTAAACAATCTACTGATGCTGCAAGCTTGTATAGTATATTTGATTATAGCTCAAAAATAGAGTTGCCTGTTAGATAACGTATTTTTAGAAAGGGATTGGTTAAAGTGTATCATATACTTGTAGCACATATAAGATCTTTGATTCTTTTGACTGAATAAGTTTACTACAAAAATTTTATACGGTATTTAATATGAGTTCAGCATATAACGAAGCGTCAAAATTGGCATGGACTTGTTTTATCACATCTAAATGTTCAAACCGACCCAGTGTACACTCAGAGGCACTTATAACCCAAAAACGTACATTTTTATGTATAAATAGGTTAATTTTGTTCAATTTGGACTTTACCAAATCCAACATATCATATTTGCCTCTTGGAATTATATTTACAATTCATCGATAAGAAAATAGAAAAATTGCAAAACAAATAGGCTACTGGAAAATGAAAAATCACAGAATGACTGTAAAACAGTCTCCGAATCCCACTAAATCTGTATGTAAACCAGTTCTAACACTTTGTATGTCCTCCAAATTGGCTATAACAAAGTAAACACCTCTGCCTCACTGTTCTCTATTCTTAAAGGGCTTGCTCGAGTTTCAGCAAATGCGAGATGTGGTCGCTTTCCGCACGCCTGTTCAATTCAACCGACAAGTGTGATGTATAGATCTGGTGACTTGGGATGCAGGAGTTGTTGGAACTCGAGGAAGCCCTTATTCAGGAATGGAGAAACATTCCCAAGCCTTCACTACATTTAACATTCATCACACAGCAAATCACGTCAATATGCTTTTGTCATGCGATTTTTGACCTTTACCAATCAGAAAAGAAAATGAAAATGATTGTCAATTCGTTTCTTTCGATGAATGAAGTGTTTATATTTCATATTATTTTCTACACAATTAACGAGCAATACAAAGGGTGTCTCTTAATATATGATCAAGCTTATTTAATAGAACTCGAACTAAAATTTGTATTCACAAGTTTATTGCATGGAAACTCCCTTTTCGAGAAGAACATCAACAGAAAGACACTGTATAGAATGGTCCCAATAACGTAACCGACTATCTTTAGAATTATAAAAGTTTTCTTTTCACACAATTTCTGTCTGATATTTTTCTTTGAATATGAACATTCATTTCATTCAATACCACATTCACTGATGAGGTCCTCATCCAACGTGACGTACAAATATCCCTCGTCACACATTTCCATACACTTTCCATCAGACAGCACGAGCTTTTTAAAATCTTCAACTTTTATACAGATTTTACCATCTGACACCATTGTAGGTCCACATGTTGAAAAACAAATAGACCGGTTTCCGGTTTTCATTATGAGAGGCTTATCAGATGGGCATGTCAAATTTAGTTGTGAGTAAATCGATGGCTCGCCATTGAATGTAAACGGTGTCTAAAACGGAAACATATTTTTTTAGATAGTTCATATTATATTATATGTAAAGAATTCTTTCGATGTCTACGAGTAAGAATCTAAATACAATTAGCTATAATTATGTCTCTTCTTAATATCAGCTTTCTATAGAAAAGATTATAAATACGCAATACACAATAACAATACAGAAAAGTTGAAAGATGTTGGATTAAAAGACAATAAAACGAAATCCTAGCTAGACAGTGTTAAACCTTTTATAAAGAACATGGTCTTGATAGTGATGAATGTATGGATCCTGCTTAAGATAAAATTTTACCAAAGCCATTATTAAGTCCCTGCAAATTGCAAATTACAAATAGTTCGAACTTATGTAGGCAACCCCATACACTATTTGTAAAAAGGTATCTTCATAATCCACTATGGAATTCATATAACCGGAATAAATAGAAAATAAAAGCGGAAATAAATAACAAGTTTTAGGGTAAAAATGTAACATTACTTTTATTTAGTTAATAAATAAAATAACCCTATTCATACGTTTATTTACTGACAAGATTGCACCTAAATATTTCCTGCTTTATTTATTTTAACTCTATAGTTCTACATTTGGACTGGTTTACAGCGCATCAAATATTTAAATGTTGTAGGCATGAGGACAATACACGAAGAAACTCTTAAGTAGAATAGTTAATATAATCAATCCTTAAATTTATGTTACATTTATGGAGAGAAAATACAGCTAATACAATCGTATTGTATCTAGTTAACAATATAATCATCGCGGTAACTGACTACCCAATAAGTTTTCGTATTAACAAAACTGATATACACTGTATATCGGATTTGCTAGATAGTTAGTTAGATAAATAACAATTAAGTATCTAACGTTCAAAAACAGTATTAGTACCCAAAACTGCCAACATTTAAAAGTTAATTTAAAGATAATTATTTGTTTATCTATAAAACTTGTTTGTTAACTTAAGTATCAGATAGTTATCTGTATCTTTAGATAAGTTTTCAGTTAAAAGATAAGGGTATGGTTTGGTTAACTGTTGGGAGAAACATTCCACTATAATATCCTATTGTTTTATTTTTCACTTGCTGAACATATATGATGATGGTTACTATCAAGATATGTTATCATTTATACTGACCTAGGTGTTCTGAATTTTTCAAAGTATTTCATATTTTAAAATTTGTACGAAATTTATGCAGGACTAAACTATTATTGTAAGTTGATTACACGAATATTTCATTTAAATTTAAATGCATTTCATTTAAGTTTAACGTACAAGGGAAATCATTTATATAAAACACATTCCTAAAAGTTTAAGATATAGATAACCGATAGTAACATTATACTTCATACATTTAATTTAATAGATTAAGAGAACACATTATTTAAATTATTGATTTATTAGCAATTAAAAAGCAAGCTTACGCCTTTTACATGTAGGACAAATCCAAAAAAAAATAAACAGTACACAGCAGAATTTGCAAACACGCCATTATTCACATGTTAATGGTACCGGTAAGCACGCAAGGATTCCCCCTGTATTTTCAGTATTGATTTTGATTTGAAAAGCAAAGTGATACACTTACAATCAGTCATGGCTACGAGTATAGAAAATAATTCAGAAAATTCTGCAAATAATTGTCGTGATCAGGATTTAAAAGATAAGATACCAGCTCTACCCGAAGGAAAAACAAAGCATTTCTTTGTTTCTTACACCAGTTTAGACAAAGAACGTGTTCATTCAGTAATTGAGGACGTCGAAAAGAGTTTGGTCTACAATGTGTATTTGATGAACGGGACTTCCAGGGTGGGAAGGATATAACAGTAAATATACGTGAAGGAAATGTGTCTTCATTAAAGGTATTACTCTTTTTAACACCAAACTTTCTCAAAAGTGGCTGGTGTAAGTATGAAACTGACGTCGCATTTAAAAACTCTATGGGTTGTGGCTATAGCTGTATTGTGCCTGTACTGCTTGAAGAGTGTGACTTTGACCTACATTGGTGCAACTATTCCGGGCCTAGACGTGGCAGCCAAAATTGCAGCTTCACTTTGGCACCCTGGTATGTTTTATGAATATATATTATCTGTTACAAACGAAAAGTTATATCTTAGTGTTTTAACCCTCTGAAACTACATGTATAGAAATGTATTTTTAGATATTTTACCGAAAGCATCCTTAATTTTGAACAAAGATTGAATTATATAACGGTAATGTTTATTTAATTTTGAGTTGTTTTAATTGGAAAGTAGTATTAGCATATAATATAGTTTAGAGTCTACGTATGTAACTACCCAGTCATACACCCGATCTTGTTTAAAATAGAAAATACTTGTTAATTTCTATAGCTAGATCTTTTTTTTTATTGTGCGTGTATCTTTTGTGTTCATTTAACCCGATGAACTTAACAGTCAGTATTTATTTGCAACAGCGCGTGTAAACGTTGTCGTACTTTTTTTAACGCTTCTTACATTCTTTGTACTACTTGGGAAGACTTACAAATCGAATATAAAATCAATAATTTTACTTTAAAGGTTATTCTTCTGTAAATAATAATGCCTATTTAGGTATTGTTAATAAATATCGATCATTTTAATTGAACATTGCGTCGTCTTCTTTTGTGATTTAATTATACTTTTATACAAAAGTTGCGTGTATGCCCCAATTTGCGAACATTAGCAGAAGAAGACTTCTTAGTTTAAACAATATTTTATATATAAACATTACATTTACATGATAATTGACAAATTATTAATAGTACGGATTGAGTAGGAAGCTTGAAAAGCTTTTCTTAGAAGCTCTTTCCGTATTCGGACTTCTTAGACTACTTGCCATGTGTTCCTGTGCTTCTGCAGGTGTTAAAACAAGTAAAAAGGGTTCATGAACCCTCTACTACTGATCTATTTTATTTGCCTATCTAAAGAAATTTTAAAAAATAGCAGAAGTGTGTAGATTATTGCAGCGTGCGTATAAAAACATGCCAACTTGTATAAAAATTAATTTGATTAACTGTCGTAAAAGGCATTTGAATACCTAATTCCTCAAATTTAGGACATAGCAGAATATCTGTCGTCATACAAAATGTAATGTGATTTCAGAAAAAAAGAAGTTTTACACAGATTATATGCATTTAATATAACATTTTCAAATTTAACTTTTTCTTTTTATCTAGCTACTGATGACGGTTTGTTCTCTCTTCACATTCGGGCTTTTAACAAACAATGTAAGTTTAACACAGACAATTATCTTTTCCAAACAAGAATATATAAATACTTGTTGATGCTGTCATTTTTTTTATTTTCAAATATTCATTTTTACATACTCATTGTATAAACTGATAACTTCATTTAATATTTATAACGTTAACCATGCCCCTTGTTCAATTAAATAGAGGATTAGGATCAAGCTCAGGATTACACATCCACTCATTACTCATGGAATAAATGTTTAATATTAACGTGATAAAATAGGACATTAATTGCATGTTAAAAAATTTGAATACATCTATTGTTATTTAAGGCTTAGAAGTTTTACGTGTTCTGTGCAAAGTGATATAAAACGAACTTTGCCTAAACATGAATGGAATTATTATACAATGTACATACAAATAATGAATACTATGGATAAATATTTACATAACAGATAAAATAATATTTTCATATCAAGACATAAAATTAAATACCTAAATATTTCGTAAAAACATCAAATCGATTCAAAACGATGAACCGTCATTTAATATTTATACATTTTAGACGAGAATGGGTATTGTTTTATAATTCCGGCTGTACGTGATAACTTATGTGTCTTCAGACCTGCCAAGTATCTATTCTTAATTGATGATAACCTCATAGAAAAATTGAAGGAAAACAAGGTTGAGGTAGGTCTTTATCCGATGAAAGCAAATGTTTAATTCGTCCATTGCTTTGCCTATTAAATCTTGTTTATCTTTTCCATCTTTATATCTAAAGGAAAGCACTCGAATGAACGCCTAAATCAATGGTCCCTGTATTGTGAGGCAGAGTTTCATTACCACAAGGCCGCCCTTATGAAACTGATTTTAATTTATATTAATTTCCCTGAAAAATAACGAAAGATTGAATTTTATATTTTTCAATTTTAATGACAGATAACAGATAACAAGTTCGATGACCCCAATTATTTATAGCTACAAAAGGTTTTCGTTACTGTATTATAAGTTGATGCAATGTTTCAATACCTTCTTTTATACAGTTTTTATTCTGCTATATGTAAATGCAAACCTAGCATACGTCTGTAAATCCAATGTCTAGATTTCTAAGTTGAATGTTTTGAAATATTTCACATCATGATAAGATTATTAGATATTTAACACATGATTGCTAAAATGTTCATAACAGCGATGAAAATGCGAAGACACGATGACATGAACGCGACAATTATTGCAGTTTTTCCTCGTATTTTACGGTTTCGTCTTTGTATTTTGGTGGTTTGGACATTTTACGTGTCATATTTCGTGATCCATAGGCGATGTCCCTAACCAGATTGTTTAAATAAAACTGAATGTAAGGTGCGACTATGATTTTTACTTGAAATATCCTTCAGCGATTTTCAGTATGTTCAAAAAGACAAAAAAGAGGCACATATCCAAAATGGTATATACTTACTGCATTTAATTAAATGACACACAAGCAAGAAAAATCTGAAGTAGTTGATGGTTTACATAAAATAGAAATATCTTTAATCGTGCTAGGTATTAACTATTTTGATTTTGTCCACAACCAAACATGATCCGAGTATGTCTTTACAATGTAATTCTATTTTTAAGAATATGCTCGCCAAATTCACGTTTTTTTAATATTACAATATAATATTTTACAAAATATAAACTGTCCAAAATGTTTATTTAAGTAGTAAATAAATGTTCAATCCTTATTTCAGGTTCCAGAAAATCTGTTGAAAACAACTGTCGATCTCGTGAACAAGGATCTCATTATGTGCTCATACGATTATCTTTACCGGTGTAAAAATTTTGTTTGGGGGTGCTTTCTGTTACCCCTTTTTGCGTTGATTATTAAAATTTATGAAGATGCATGGGTCCTTAATACTGCTACTAGAGGAAGGAAAAATGAGTATTCACCGGATGACTTTATATATTCGACAATGACGAGCTTTCCTTCTTTCTGTTTATTCATTCAGATAGTAATTTGCTGCTTGCCTACATGTTGTCATAGGAAAAAAGTAAGTTACACTCATTAGTTGCTTAAACACTTTGATAGAGACTACTTGTATTCCGATGTACTTTTCATTCATCATCGATGAATAGCTGAATATTTTATACAAAAAAAGATATTATTATCTTGTAGCTTCACCAAATGATGATTGCATTCAGACGGCAATTTATACCATATGCAAAATAATATTATGATAATAGTGCAGTTTCTTAAAAAGTAAAGTATCTTATTCCGATGTTTTTACTTATAGATATTGAATTTATAATTAAAATGTCTACCTTTCAGCGGGATTTCTCTCTTCAATCTAAACTATGGCGGAAAGTCGGTAAAGAATGTATTGAAAATAATGCTTTACTTTTGTTCACTGGAAGGAGGAACAAAAAGCCATCTTTATCCTTTTAAAACATGTATGAATATATATCATTTCATACGTTTTTCTTTTTAAGCAGAAAGTGTTTTGCTATGCACATTTCAAAGCTAATTATGCCCGAGACATGCTAATATTTTTATTTCCTCAAAAGAATTGCTAATTTCAAACGTTATTCATGTGTTAACTATTTATATTATCTCAGAATCATTAACATTGTTTTGTGGAAAGTATGTGTAACTGAATGATACTATATGATTAGATTAATAAGTTAAATCATATTTTATTGCATATAGAAATAAACATCATTTTTACTTACATTTCTACACAATATACAAAATACCGTAGTTTGGCCAAATATTTACAATATTATCGAAGGCACTCCCCTATAACATTTTAACATCGGTTTACAAGTCTTTCACTAATGTTTAAATTTTTTGATTTTCACGTTCAAAGAAAGTTTAAATCTTTCTTATTGTCTTCCGAATAAGAAAATCCGTATAGCCTCATTATTGTTTGTTGCTGTATCAATTTTAGCAAATAAGCTTTGAACATAGTTAGACTGTTGATTCTTTGACTGTATTCAGCTCCTTGTAATGAGATACAACGTAGCAAGGTGTAAGGTAATATTTGACCATTTGTATATAATTATAATATACATTATAATAAAATTACATAAATTATACTGTATATGAGATTATTTTTATAATTTTTATAAATTAAATATTTTATTGAATTTCACTGTTCACAGCTCCCATTTTGCTATATATTTCTTCACATTTAAAAGTACCAAACTAGTATTTTCAAGGCTAAATATAAATATAAGTTTAAATGTGATGAAATACATAGAAGAATGGGGGAGGGGGCAGTGAACAATGACTTTTATGAAATATTTTAAAAATCATGAAAATTTTCTCAATCACTTTGTTTCATTATTAATTCATACATCATTACTGTCTGATCCCTTATAAAATTGTCGAATTAAAACGAAAACATATTGTTCAACATTCTACACTGATTTCCGAAAAGGAAAGTTATGGTTCGTTAATTGTTTTAGGTCAATTATGCGAAGTACATATGCATGGAGAGAGCTATTCTACAATTTTCTGATGAAGTAATTTGGCTGTAACTTCTTTAATTATTTTTATTACTTGAAATTAAAACATTTCGACTTTTTGTCACGCACTTCATATATAATAAGGTTCAAAACTCTAGTAAACAAATAATCTCCCTTTAAACTAAGAATAATCTTTTACGTTTATTTAAGTATACTAAAATTATATCCTTATTTCTATATTGTATAAATGAAAACGCTGACTGGATAAAAAAACATGTTTTAGAATTATCTTTACTATGATACGTGGTGTTATTGATTATAGGATTTACATCAGATTGTAGATAACAAATATTTGTTTGATATGGTCACAAGCGTCATGTATGAATAGGTTAATTATTCTAACACTCATATTTTAATTTTAATGATCTACATTTTTTTCACATTTTGTTTCTGACAAAATGTGTCTTTTCTTCATGCTTAAGGTAACTGCCGTTCCTAATCTTCGCTAACATGATGTATTATTCATTTCATGACTCTAGCATTATATTTAAAATTAACTCATCTTTGCAAATTAAAGTAAAATTTACTCTTACCATATGTATTACAACGCAGAAAGTTCTGTTGATATTTTATGTTTCACTTTCAATTTGATAAACTTGCACGTTATGTAGTGTATGATTATTGGACATTTTAGACTTTGCTTGATAATGATCAAGATATAAACTTATCATATAGTTTTAACTTTCTTACGCGTCAAGTATATAATTAGTCGAGCATGTTGTGTCATTTAAAATATCTTGTCATTCCTGTACAAAGGTAAACGTATTAATTATCTGTATATCTTTGCAACATTGATTTAGTTTTTTTTTCCTTAATATTCTTTTCAGGAGTACTTTGTTGGTATTATCAAATCAAGGAATATTAGACCGGCCGATCGGACATTAACACCCGAGGTAAAGCATATACATGTAGCTAATTCATTTGAATTTACAATTTTCATTTTAGAAACAGCATTATTTTCTTTTTTGTAGTATCAAGATATTGAAAAGCTAAATTATTTATTGTTAAACAAACCTTTCAATATAGCACATGTCACTATAAAACATCAATTCAAAAAACTATTATCTCTAGATATTTATTTCGGGAGCATTAGTAAAATTTCTCATGAAACAAGATATTGAAGTTAATAGTAGGGACAGCTTTTGCAAATATTTGTGATCCGTGATTGCTATACTTTTTTCGAAATTCATAACATATATTTATGATTGTATTACATATCATTAAGTCAGGTTTACTATACGAGGAAATATTTGAAAGCTAGTTCTTGCCTAACTTTGAAATGCCTTAACATTACTTGTTTGTTTGTATTTTTAGCTCACCTGTCACAAAGTGACATGTTGAGCTTTTGTGATCGTTTTTCGTCCGTCGTCCGTCCATAAACTTTTACTTAAATGACATCTCCTCATAAACCACTAAGCCAATTTCATCCAAACTTCACAGGAATGTTCATTTGGTCGTCATCTTTAAAAACTGTTCAAAGAATTTAATTCCATGCAGAACTCTGGTTGCCATGGCAACCGAAAGAAAAAAACTTTAAATATCTTCTTCTAAAAAAAACCCAAAGAGCTAGAGCTTAGATATTTGGCATGAAACATCTTCAAGTGAGTGTCTACCAAGTTTGTACAAATAAAAGCCCTGGGGTCAAAATTGGCCCCGCCCCAGGGGGTCATTGATTTTCCCTATATGCATATAGTAAAAACTTAAAAATTCTTCTTTTAAAGAATCCAAAGAGCTAGAGCTAAGATATTTAGCATGAAACATCTTTTTATGAGTGTCTACCAAGTTTGTTCAAATAAAAGCCCTTGGGTCAAAATTGGCCCCGCCCCAGGGGATCATTGATTTTCCTTATATGCAAATAGTAAAAACTTAAAACATTTCTTTTAAAGAACTCAAAGAGCTAGAGCTAAGATATTTAGCATGAAACATGTTCTAATGGATGTCTACCAAGTTTGTTCAAATAAAAGCCCTGGGGTCAAAATTGGCCCCGCCCCGGGGGTCATTGATTATCCTTATATGTGTATAGCAAAAACTTAAAAATCTTCTTTTAAAAACCCAAATAGCTAGAGTTTAGATATTAAGCATGAAACATCTTCTAGTAAGTGTCTACAAAGTTTGTTCAAATAAAAGCCCTGGGGTCAAAACTGGCCCCGCTCCAGGAGTGTCATTGTTTTTAACTATATGTGTATAGTAAAAACTTAAAAAAATCTTCTTTTAGAAAACCCAATGAGCTAGAGCTTAGATGTTAAGCATGAAACATCTTCTTATGGGTGTCTACCAAGTTTGTCCAAATAAAAGCCCTTTGGTTAAAATTTGCCCTGCCGGGGGGGACGGTCGTTGTTTTTCCATTATATGTGTGTAGTAAAAACTTAACATCATGAAACATTTTCTTATGGGTGTCTACCAAGTTTGTTCAAATAAAAGACCCGGGGTTTAAACTGGCCCCGCTCCGGGGGCCTATATACAGCTGAGCGACCTCAGGGCCATTTTTACATAACCCATTTTATATCGGCATTCTATCTAATTAGTTTTCTAATTTACATACATATAAAACAGTCATTTATAACTGTAATATAATTATTTAGCACGACATGTTAATTTTCAGACGTATGCAGATATGTTAATTGAAAGACATCTTGAGCAAAGTCTTCATATTCTGGCAGACGACTTTGATATTTTATCAGACGCTTCATACAATCGTCACAACGTAAAGAAAGGGAAAATGTGCATTTGTCAACAGCTTGAACAAGAGCTGTTATGTTAACAACGTACTAAGTTTAACTTACATGCATTACAAAGTGAATTTCATGTGATTCAGTTTTGCAAAGATTATTGTCTGCAAATATAAGACAATAATTTCCAATATTGGATTGGAATATGTCTTAATAAAATGTCAAAAATAATTATAATAATATAACATCCCTGTAATGATGTGCTTCGAGTGCACTGTCGATACGCAATAAGATAAGTTTCAGAATATTTTTTCCTCTAAGAAACATGTTTTGTATAAGTTCATATTAAAAGCTTACTTTTGATATTAACATTGTTTAGAGCTTTGAAATTATATAATCATTATGGGATTGTTTGGTTATTGACAGAAAGCCGTGCTAACGATACCATTTTTATGACGAACTCTACGTTTTTGCTTAATATAGACGTCGAATGTGTTTTGACATTTGATGACAACGGAAAGCGGGTTGAAAATGTTGATGAAAATATATTAAGCTATGCCAAAAAGATTGGACTACAACTTACATCATCCGATATTGATAAATGCCACAGAAAGGGCCTACCTAAATTAAACTATAACCATTAGCTAATAGACAACTTCACCTTTTCTAAAGCCAGAGAAACAAATCAATCCTAGAAAGAAATAAGACTAAGGAATATTTGTTCAAGGCAATCTGACCCCTTACCGCGAACATTTAGAAGTTGAAGCAAGACAACATTACCGATCTATTTTGCCACATGAAAATAAATACAGTGCAGTAATGTTATTATACAAGTTTTTATAATTTCCTTACAAAGCAAACGATAGGGTCTTTTCAAGTCTTATAAATATTTTTTAGAACTACATTGTACTATTTTTAGAATAATTGAATTCACTTATGTGTTAACTTGTTACATCATTGTTAATCTAACTATGTATGCGTATGACAAAGTGTCATATACATATTTTCAGGTTAATCTATTTATGAAGTTAGACAATCTTAAAGCCTTGAGTTGACTAAAATATAGCTTGTGTAATGGTAACATCTTTGAAAATTTAATAGTATATGTAACAGAAAACATATTGTAAGTATATACTATTTTAATCGAACATGATAATCGCTCAGGTTTTTTGTTTTGCCTTTTCTTCTACAGATAAAAGCAAAACCTTTTGCAAGTAGTGTTTGATAAGGGTACTTGTTGTGGGTTTAGTTTTTCTTGTTGATATCAGAAAAGCATAAACATGATATTCTGTTACGTTTTCTTTTGTTTTTGTTTTTAATTAACAAAGGGAAGTAAAACCTTTGGTCTGTCAAGTGTTTGATAGGAGTACCTGTTATTTCCCTTCCATTGAAAGATATATTAGCAGATAATTTGTGCTTAAAATTTTGGACAATTTTCTTTATTTGGGAACTGCCAATTTGTTTTTTACAAACATTATACTGATTCGCAGATTTGGATCATTTGACTCATCTTAACCTTACAAATCCGTTTGTTTTGTTTTTCGTAAATGAACGATGTATCATGGATGTTTCTTTTTCTTGTTGAGAGCAAAAAAAAATCTAGTATACTAATACAGTATTTTGGCGAGTGTTTGATCGTTTAATGATAAAACATTCGTTTTAATTTTCAATTATCATTGGCTGAAACCGGTATGTAAATTCCATGAAGTCGGATATTTAAAAATACAAATTCAAAAGTATACTAAAAGATTTATAAGGTTATCAGCAGTGAGGATGTGTTTGTTGGTGATATGAATATATGTTTATATAATTTTCTAGTAGACTAAGTGTAATTGTAAGAAATTGTCGGCTTTTTCTTACTTTGGTGCTGGAGAGCATCACGGTGTGTTAGTCATATATAACTTTAATTTCTTACGTTTATTGCACACAGGTAAGTGCACAAAACGTTATATTACCTTGAACCCTAGTATCAATAGGTCAGAGTTTAAAAATAACTATAATAATTATTATAATATTAAAAAAGAAACGTGTTTGAATACAATGACAAAAATCGAATAAACTAAATTGTTTTGTCACATTCAAGGAATTAAATTTATTACCTGGATTTAACATGGTATTTCTCAACTTCAGCAAAACGTTTTTGGTTTCATTTGTTAAATTTTGTCTTGCTTACTTTTATATATTTTATAAAAAATTCGATTTAAATTTCATATAAAATATGTATTTAAAGGGGCTCCACTGACTGGTAATTTGGTGTCCAAAACAAATGTAAACAAATGTCACAATATTATAACTAAGATAACAATTATAACTCACAGTTTTACCAACCCTTTAACAGCAATTACGCTAGAAAATAGTATTGCATTTTTCGGTAGTTTTTTTTTGTGTCTTTGATTTCATTGAGGAAATGTGACGTGTCTTTTATGTAACTAGGCGTGTTAACTACAATTTCTCAGCTAGTTCTGCCACTCGCTCTGTTACTGTTCCAATACCACTGATGATTAGTCGGAGGGGATTGTCCGATTTGTGTATTTAGGGTTGCCCTTTACTTGTCTTAGTCCTGGGCAGTCGGGAATTAAATACTGTGCAAGTATTTTAGAGAAAGTTCCATTTTATCCATTCTATTTATGAGTTTCTTTGTTGTCTTTAAAACCATTGCTGTTGGCTCTTTAATTAAATGTTTATATGTTCTTGCATCCTTTAATGTTTTTATTGTTGACGTCAACGACGTCATTTCTTGTATTCAAAACATAATGTACGACAAGAAGATAAAAATGTGATTTATAAAAAGAATCAGGAACTCATTGATATAGAGGGGTGTATCCCCTCGAAACTTTGCATGTTTAAACTGTGTGAAATTACTGACTATTATTTAAATGTTTCCAGAATGATTTCATTTAATTTGATTTTCTGTTTTGGAGTCGGGCATGGGGGTTTACGTCGCACAAAAACAGTGTAGGTCATTATGGCGACTCTTCAGCTTTACTAGTGGAGAAAGAACTCGGGTGCCCCCCATTTGCAAAATTGTTTTTTGCACAAACGGGCATCTGAGTACAATGAGTGACATTTCGCAGGCTTTCTTGAAAGGATCGTGCATATTTGTTCCAAACACACTCATTTATGAACATTACATCAAATTCAAGTATACTTCTGTCATTATGTATATTATGTAATAGAAAGAGCATCGAAACATTAAGCTATCTGATTTGTACGAGGGACCATAGCCCCCGCGTATATATAAGATTGTCAAGTGTTTTGATGTTCTTTTTCTTTTGTATCATAGGCAAATTTAAATATACGTTCCCTGTTGTAACAATATTATACCCCAGAAAAAGTTACAAATGAACCAGCTTCTGAATATTGCATTTCTATCGTTATTCCTGTCTCTGTCGTCACAAAAAGTAAATCCCAGAAAAAATGTGTCAATCAATGGGCATGCTCTGGAGTGCAGGTAACTAATACCTGCATTTCAGTTAACGCAGTGTGCATGTATGTGTGTACGATTTAACTCCGACGCGTTTTCAACAGAAAAGTCCCCAAACTATGATACAATAAATGATTGGTTATGATTCTATTAGAATTGTTTTTAGAATTTGATAATTTTTCGTTGAAAATGATACAGTTTAGTTGCACTACAGATTAGATCAAAGTGCTGAAGGCAATGGAAAAAAAACGGATAAACTAGCGACTTTAAGTAACACATTTTCACTCTAGTTTCACAGCTAAATGAATTCTATATGCTGTCAGGTTTTACGTCTATATATCAGAATACCTTTGCTTTTTGAGACTTTTGCTTTTGAAAAAAAATCTAAACGAGTAAAATAAACCCTCTTTTAGGGGCAAATAATATAATAAGTAGCCTCCCCTTCTCAAAGGAGTCAGAACAATCAATAATGGTGATAATATTATTAATAGAGCCAGATTGTAACTCTCTTTCCACCTTCTTGATAATGTTTACCATGTGCTAGTTGCAAGACACCGGTAATAATTACCTATAGTTTTGAATGTCTAGTAGATCAAAAGACGTAGTAATCTTCTTATCAACAACGTTAACATTCAATGCGGATAAATATGCATATTTGTAAGTATGTGTGTAAAATGATAAAAAGTAAAATTTCAGATCTATTTAGCAAAAGACATCGATTTTTTTTCTTGTATAATTTAAATTATCTGCACTTGACACACACATACAATTATTTACTAAGAAAGTTGATGCCTTAATGTCCTATAATGTGGCCTGATTTATTCTCTATTTAGCCAGTGATTTCATTGCTTTGATCCTTGTTAAAGAGAAAACGATATCATTCATTGTGTGTGATTTTTGATGCTTATAATACTAAAGGTCTTGTTCATTGTATAACAGATATTACGGTGATTTTTTTCTGAACGGGTGTCAGATAAACCAACGTGACCTTTGAAATAGGACCAATCACACTGTCTTAGCCTAGATATCTTAATATTTTAACCATAACACAATTAATACATAATATTTATTAATTACACGATAACACTCAATTTAACATAGAATATTTGTAAAGTTTGTGTTTGTCAGTACGTTTAGCCAAATTTAACATTGTAACGTAGTAAAAAACATGATTATAACAATATAATGCTTTAAATATATCGAAATTGCTTTTGAAAGATTCTCTCAAATGAACATATGTGTACAACATGAAATTTAACAATTGTATGCAATGTTGGTATATTCCACTTTCGCACTTCGTTGCTGCCGATACACAAATAAAATCTCCGTTTCGCTTTTTATTCATACCGAGACTCATCTGGTGACCGTTGTTTATATACCGGATATACAGATTTGCAAACTGAAAGCCATTTAAACGAGAAAATATATATTTCAAACGAATACCAAGCCAAAGAACACATTTCAATGTATCACTGATAATGTTAAAATATCCCTAATTAGCAGGTAATAAAAAATTATCGGTTCAAGAAAGTTTACTTTATTTTGTCACATGTTTGTCACATTCGACCATACCTCACACGCAGGTAACAAAACAATATCGGTTAGTGAACAAAATTTTTTGTCACATTTTTTGTCACATTCGATCATACCTCAGTGGAGCACCATTAATGTATTGGAGTCTGAAATCCGTTAGAGTTATTTCACTGAGAAAATGTATTTTCCATCATAAGGTATATTTTTCTGAATGTATTATTATAACAATAGACAAGAGTGACCTACAACTATATCTTACAATTGTCGTGGTTTAAATAACAATATTAAAAGACGAGATGTTTATTTTATTTCAGACCACAAAAGCTGATATTCTGTGTTTACAAGAAACACACTTTATAGAAGAAATTGAAATGGAATATTTAGTTTAGGTTTATTTAGCAATGGAAAACCCAATGCTAAAGGTGTGGCTATATTGTGTAAAAAGAATTAAAATATAAAAATGAATCCAGTTAAAAATTAAGATTCAGGAAATTTTATAATATTGCAAGTGATATCGATTCAACACACTTTACGCTAGTGAATATATTTGCTCCGAATAATGATACTTCTCCTTCTTTGAACCTATTTTGTAACGATAGAAATTCTTGAGGACAATGACTTCCTTATTATTTGTGGTGATTTCAATCTTGTTCAAGAATCAGTCTAAGATTACCATCATTATAAATAAAAAAGGAATAATAATAAATCTAGAATAAATAAATCCAGTAATGTTTTATTAAATATGATAAATGAACAATACCTTATTGGTCCTTTTAGAGAACTACATGGCGACATAGAAATATACACGGAGAAAAACTAGCCTAATACAACAAGGTAGAATAGACTCAGTGGACATGTCCTCGATCAATTTTATTGTTAAGTTTCACCCAACAAATTAGACTTGCCTCGTTTTAGTAATATTTTCCCCAGACGCTCTTCTCGTAAAATGTCACATTTAAAGCCAGGGAATAACCATGAAACATAACAATAACGAGGTTGGTCATAGATCACCAAATCTATATTTTTTCTGATATTAGGTGATTTGTGTTAAGGTAGACCATGGGTAATGCATTACCTCTACTTTGAAGAGTATTCAAATAGGCTAGAATCTCTTGTAAACTACATTGAAATTGAGGGGCGTGGGTTCAAACCCCAGAAGGGGCAACTTTTTTGTTCTTTCTTTTTTTCTTTTAAAAATTATTAATGTATCTCTCTGATCCCTTATGGAAGAAAAAAGTTTGATTTAAATTATATAATTTATTTTAGGTTTTTTTTTTGCTAAATAATGCCAAAATTTATAGCAAATATGATACCAGATATTTTCAAAGTTCGATAAAATGAAAACTACACGGTAAAAGTATTTTATATTTCGCATGATCAACTAATATACCTTTGACAAAATTTAGGCAAACTTTGAAAACAGACCCTCATTTCGATAAATTTTAGGGATATTTTGAATAAGGCATTTTTGATAGGGAAATGGTAAAATTAGTGTTTAAAGTGGGTGGGGTAGGGTAACATTTTTACACGTATTAAGAACATTTTGTTTAGAAACAAACATTTTGCTTGTGTAACGTGTTACCTGAATGTTATTATTTGTTTCTTAACAATGAGCAATAGAAAAACATTTTTTATAATGACGATATTACAGATTATTTACAGTTTCCTCATTTCTGAAAATAAGCCCTTCTAATGGCAAAGACTTAGTTAAGAAATATATCCATAACTCATAAATCACACGGTAAATTTTATTTAAAT